GAGGAGGCACTTCCGAGTAGCACAGGTGCAGCTCTGAGTCTTCTGTACTGCTCTAAGTGCAAATGATGACCTGGATCGCAAACAGCCCACAGATGAGACCTTGAATTTGAGAAAGCAGCAGGCAAATGGCTTTTTATGGTGTTTGCTTCCTGTTCTTTTAACTATGTGTTAAGGATTAAAGAGATGTACAATGTCCTGCAGCCAAGGATAACAGACCTGTAGCTCTATTTCAGTTCAGTTCATTTCAGTTCAGTGCAGTGCCAGGATGTGAGAGGAGTAGCAGCTGTGGTATGCTGCCTCCCTGTCTGCTCTAAGCTTTAGTTCAGAAATATCAGTCATGTCTGGACTAGACTCTCACTTCAGATGTTCATCTGGTAAAATAGAATGAGACTGGGCTACTAATTAGAAACTGTGCCTCTGAATTCATAAATTCATGGTAGTTCTTGTACTGCCAAACTGAAAATACCTGACGTGCCTAGAAATGCAATAAATCTGTGAAGATGTTGGTGACTGGATGAAATGATGATTTTTTTTTTCCTGGTACTCATCTTCCATTATTCCTTGGTGCTTTTATCAAAGTGCCCTGTTTACTTTAGCATTCTGTTTTTGGAACATAATGATGATCAGTTCTATTCTGCTGGAGATCTGCCATGTGATCCTTTGCTGCTCAGAAAGTACTCCAGGGAGTATGGCATCTGTACTCAGACCTTACTGCCATTCTCTTTGGCCTCTGTTCTGGAAAAACGATTACAGCTTGTTCTAGTGCTGTACAGAAGTTTCTGCTTACTTTCCTCTAAAAAGACAGCTGGATTTTGGAGATGGAAGAGCACAAATAGGCAGAACTAAGCTATGTGTCTTGCTTCCTGTCAGAACCACCTTTCTTGGAAGATGTAGGTTGATGTATAGAATGTATAAAACAGCATAATCTCTTAAGAGATAGGAATACTCAGTCAGCATCTCAGGTAAAGTGCAAGGGCCAAATAGTCCTTGTGATGTTTTCTTGGAAACAGAAATGGTACTGGTAAGTTTATTTTCAAGTAGCAGCTTTTTTTCTGAAAGCTTAGTGTGTATGCAGTGCTTCTGTACTTTTCCGCCTGTTCTCCTCTGCTGTGCAGTAATAGCAGCCAAGCTTTTCATTCCACCATCTAGCTTGCTTCTTGTGCTGAGAAGATTATACATACAGGTATGGAATAACTGCAGACACTGCTTGATTAAAGAAGAAGGGAGTGTGTAAGTTTAAGAATGGGGGGTAGCTTCTGTATGAATTTTGTCTAAAACAGTGTGTTTTGACTTCCCACCTTTTTTTCTTCATGATAAATATTTATTTAGTCTTTTCAAGCACCATGTAAGACCTTGCTGCGAACATACTCATGTGACATTCATGCACTAAGCACTACAAAACTGAAGAACCATTTATAGCCTGGAATGTATCATCTGCTTATGAGTCATCAAGTTCTAATCAACTCCCAATACTGCCAGAGATAGCCATTACTTTTCCGTTTTTGAAAAAATACTGACTGTTTCACATGGCAGAACTCCTGGGAGCAGGATCTCACTGAGTGCTTATGAGAAGGATGGAAGTGGAATTCTTTTAGCTTTTGCAAAATGTAGTCACTCTCAGGTGATGTTTATCTTGCAAAGCAGGAGCAGCCCTTAGGAAGTAGCAGTGGTAATATGGTGTATGTAGCACCTCTTGCCAGGGGCTGTACAAACTGCTATGGAGAAGGAACGCTTTTGTCTTGTTGGCATGGCAGGTACCTTTATCAGCTCAGAAGTGGAGTTAGTACAAAGCTGTTGATTATATCAACAGTAAAGCTTTACATTTTCTTCTTCACCTTGTTCTGTCTCTGTATACCTGAAATTACAGGCATGTGAAGTTTGGAGAGATTGGTTTTGGAATTTGAGAGATAGCATAGGTCATCTTACGGATTTTCAGCTAATACAGAAGTGTTAGTGTCTGTGATGGCTATGGTCATTACAAAGAGGACCTGGAGTGTTTGGTTGGAGAGATACGACTGTTCTGAGCAGTTGCTGTGTTGTGCAGTTCTACATGCTTTCAGGAATGCTTTCAGATCAAAAACATTTCAAGCCTTACTTCTCAGTAAGCTAGTTCAGGGTGTTGATAGTTGTGGAGGAAGCTTTCTGTTCCCAGACAGTCATCCTCTGTGCTGGCAACAGTGCTGTATGTGGATTTTTAATAAAAATATATTCATGTATTGCTGTCTGTTGAAAGGGAGGCTAAACACTTTGTAAGGCTGTGCTTGAGTACAACATATAAGACTTATGGTCACTTATTTATTACTGTTCAATTGTATTAAGTTGAATGGACTAACAGTGCCTCTCATACAAAGTAGGTAGACCAACAATGATCGCGTCCTTGCTGCCAAAGTAAAGTATCACCTATACAGAGAAACTCATAAAAGGAGGAAGATGTTGGCTTAGAATGAAATCGAAGAAGCATGCAGAGAAGGGAAAGCTATGAACAAAAGCCCATGGCAAGAACTTGCCTGAGCGTTTGTCCATGTAATTCTTTGAATACCATGGAACTACTTTCACATGTGAACAGTGTTAGAGGTGTTCACCCTGTGCAAGGACATTGTACACACTTACTCTGGGAAGTGTGCTAAACTCTTTTTTACTTACCAGGGTATTTTGATGAGGGTTCTGGGGTTCTGATTGTTATTAATTTCAGCTTTGGGAACTCCACGTCTATTCCAAGATTCTCTGTATTACATGCTTTGAAAAATTAATCTTGTGGTGAAATTGTCTCCTTTAGCCTCATACTGAGTACAGTGGAGCTGTCTTGGAGCAAAAATAAATTAAACTTCTGCTCACCTGCTTGTATACTCCATCATCTTCTCTGCTTTCACAGTTCTAGGTGAAGGCAACTCTAACATTTAACAGTAGTCCTAACTGAACTTCTGGGATATGCATATACCAGTAATAGAATACAAATCCTGTAAAATGTAATGTAAAAATTTTCAGATTTGATTTAATGCCTTAACAATACTGGTCATTTTCTAAGTGGCATCTTTGGAATTGTATTTCTTCTACAAATCTGTGTGAGATTTGTTATGCTGTTGCAAAGTATGAGCAAGATTTAAAAGATTCAGGCTGCTTGACCACAAGATATAACTGAGTCTAGCAGTGAATTTGTATGACAGTAACCACAGATGAAAAGCAGGTAGATTTTTCTGGATCTACCAGAAAAGTATGGCAATTGGCTTCTTGATTTCTTAAGAAGGCCTGGGAAGAGTTTGAGGAGGCTTTAAAAGCTCCCTTAAGTTGCCTTAATTTTAATGCAGTTCTTTCAGTCTAAAATTAATTTGTAAGCCATATTGGATGGTGACATTGTGTTCGTGACTTCTTGAGGAAGACTCCTCATTGGAAGAGCAATTGTCATCATTGTGCCTGACCTTGAATGCTTCCAGGAAGTGGTCAGTCACAGCCTCTCTGGACAAGCTGTTCCAGTGTCTCACCACTTTCACAGTAAAGAATTTCTTCCTAATATCTAGTCTAAATCTAATTTAATCCTCCAGTTAAAATCATTTCCCCTCACCCTGTGATGACCTCAGTCTCTCCCCAGCTTTCTTGTAGGCCTCCTTCAGGGACTGGATTGTTGCTATAAGGTCTTCCCAATGCCTTCTCTTGTCCAGGCTGAAGAGCCCGAGCTCTCTATCTTGTCCCTGTAGGGGGTGCTCCAGCCCTCTGATCATCTTTGTGGCCCTCCTCTGAACCAACAGCTTGATGTCCTTATGTTGAGGCCCTGGAACTGGATGCAGTACTCCAGGTGGGGTCATTTCAACTTGGTGTCATCTGCAAACTTGGCTGAGGGTGCACTCAGTATGGCTTTCTTGCTTCACTGTGCAAGAGAGAGAGACCATGACAAAAGATAATGTCATTGCTAATTGCAAAATGAGCCAAATGAATATTTTTGTAATAGATATGCTAACTGTGTTTAGAAAGTCGTATCGCCTGTATAAACTATACGGTATCTTGTAGGTGGAAATCAGCGTGAACTTGCCCGACAAAAGAATCTGAAGAAGACTCAGGAAACTCTTAAAGGGAAAAGGAAAGAGGATAGCTTGTCTGCATCTCAGAGAAAGCAGAGGTAAGATATCCAGCATCGTTGATTGGAGTGATTGTGCAAAATAGGAGGAAAAATGAGACATAGAACATCCAGTTCTATGAGACAGGGTTTAAGTACTTTTCTTTGGTTCATGGTCCACTCATTTATCAGAGTACAAAACATGGATATAGGTTTTACTGTATCTGCTGATACACGTGTTTATTTTTGGCAAGACCTGGAAAGACTTAGTACTTTTGAGCAGCTTTTTGTCTGGTATTAACAGGGAAATATTTTGTAATACTGTCTTGAAGATGTTTGATCCATTGTGCTCTTTATTTCTAAAATTACATTATACTTTACATAATTCTCTTAATGTAGTGGTTTTCTGCATCCTGGGGTACCTTTATGAAATGACCAGGATAAAGATGTGATAGTGGTTAACTGATTATAATATATGCCCTTTTTTGAAATGCGGTTGATAAAGGGCTGCAAAAAAGATGTATGAAACTCTAGTTAGAAAAATAGCAAGCCAGTATCTGAAATCTCTTTTTTTCTTTTTTTTTTTTCTTCACAGAGACTCTGAAATAATGCAGCAGAAACAGAAGGCAGCAAATGAAAGGAAGTCTCTGCAAGCAGGAGCAAAATGAACTGTCTGTGTGGAGAAGATAAAGCAGAAGGGCCTAGAAGATCATTCATAACATGACTTGCGTTAAATGATTAAATGTTTATCTTGCAGCCTTGTTCAACTAGCATTAGTTTGTTTTCTGTTTAATACAGGCTTAGTTGTCTGGAATGCCATTTCAAAACTGACTGTAGTCTTCTGCATGTGTAAAAATGATCATACCTAGTAATAGCTTTACTCCAGCTATTGCTGCTTTTGTAGATTTTACCTAATGGTTCCAGTCATCAGTTTTCTAAATCTACAGCGAGACCTGCTTTTCTTGTCTTAACTTTTGAAGTACAACATCATTCACAATGAAATGCAATGTGTCAAATGTGCTTGGACTAACAGAGATCCGAACTGTGGAACTCATATTTTTACAATAAAGTGTTGCATGAAATACTGTCTAATCTGAAGTGATTATGATTGATAACCAGTTGATTTTGAAGTTAGCAAAGAACACAAAATAGTGGAACTGTGGAGGAAGCAGTACGTCATCGTTCAGTCTGTTCTACAGGAGTGGCTTATCCAGTTGTAGGTTTCATGTGTAATTTTTGAGTGCTGCTCATACTGACTGGAGAAGCTCCAGACTTCAAATTAACGTATTGCAAACGTCGGCAGATCTTGAGGTTGTTCTGTCACTAAAAGGGTCAAAAATCTCTGTTCAAATTGATAAGAATAACCGCATGAAAAGGGCAGCCCTTGCTTTGCAGATAGGTTGGCTGCTGGGTGTGTGGTGTGCTGACACAGGCTTAAACCTCTGAGGGAAAGAGTGTTGTATGAAGCCGTGGTCATTGCTGGGTTTGAAGTCCAGCGGATCAAAATCTATTGGTTGTAGCTTAAGAGCTTCAAGGAAGGCGTAGCTGCTGAGAAATCAAGCTAAGTTTGCCGCCTGCCTGTTGTTTGGCTCTTAGCTCCCGCTCGCAAGGCGTCGCTGGGTGCAACCTAAAGATGGCCGCTCCGAATCGCCACAGACGGCGGCGCCATTGTAGCAGCCGCGCGGGGCGGAGCTGCTTGCCGCGCGCGTTGCATCGCCCGCCGGAAACTCGTGGTGCGCATGCGCGGCGGGCAGCGCGCGGGGCGGGGCGGGCATGGCGGGCAGAGTGCTGTTCCGGCGCGGCGCCGGGCAGGTGGGCTGCGGGTGCTGAGGTGGGGGAGGGCGTTAGCGCGGGAAGCGAGGCGAGACGGCTCTTAGAAAGCGTTCTGTGGCTTCTTTAGAGCGACGACTCGGATATGTGGGACGACACGGCCCTCATCAAGGCGTACGACAAGGCGGTGGCCTCCTTCAAGGTGAGGGGCGGCCCCGCTGGGAGCCGGGAGGGTCGCGGAACTTCGGGCCGCATCGCTCGGCCCTGGGCTGCCCCGCCCCTATGCTATGCTTCTTGTGGTTTATTTTCCTTTTCTTTCTTGAAGAATGCTTTAAAGAATGGGGACTGCTCAGAGCCTTCGGATAAGCAGGAGCAGCGGCCGGGGATGAAAAGGAAGAACAGCAAGAAGAACAGGAACAGAAACAAGAGCAACGGCGTGCCGTTGAAACAGGTTAGCTTTCTTGTAGATTGTGATGATGTCCGTACTGCAGATTGTGCTTCACAACGGTACTCAAAACGAGCTTGGAAGTAACAGGGGGGAGGAAATGGTGTGACAGACCTCAGCTGTAGGTAGCTCTTTCATCACACGTTTTCACTGGGGAGAAACTTCCTGGGTAAGGCACATTGTTCTCATGGTTGAGAGAAGAAAAAGTAGTTTAGAAACAGGCTTTGTTCCCTGTGATTTTTTTGGTGTAGGCTTTTACTTGGCTTTCTCATTTCTGTTGCAGTGGAAAGTTGGTGACAGTTGTAACGCTGTTTGGTCTGAGGATGGTAATGTCTATCCAGCAACAATTGCCTCCATAAATCTGAAGAGGGGTACATGCGTTGTTACCTACACCGGATATGGAAATAAGGAGGAACAGAACCTGGCTGATCTACTTCCTCCAGCTAGCGATGAAACAGTAAATAAATGGGGAATTCCAGGGAGGTGAAGGGTGTTTTTCTCAGTGTTTTTGGTACCACTGCATTGACCAGATGGGTTATGTGAGAATTGAAACCCAGTTCCATTGTGAAGGGACATACACAGATGGAGGGCGTGATAAGTCTTCCCTTATTTCCTGAAGTCTGCATGGGAAGTGGGAATAAGAAAGAGTGTGAGAGAAAATATATTGAAAATGATGAACGGATAAGATTGAGATACTCCCTGAGGAGGGTTAGGAGGCCTAGATGAAGGGAAAGATGCAGACAGCACTTCCCCCACTTTTTCACACTGAAGTTGTTTTCTGCAATTTCCCACTGTGTGTATCTCACAAAAATGTTTTGGTCTTCTAGAATGAAAATGAGAGTCCTTATTCAACAGATGAAAGTGAAAAATCTTCCCAGTCACATCAAAATGAAAATAACTGCACAAAAGCAAGATTCTCTCCTAAAAACTTACGGTTTCCCATACCGCCAACACCTCCAGGCTTGGGAAGGGTAAGCTAAGCATCACCTGAAATAATTCCTACACCACTGTTAAACCTGTTGTCTAAATTCTGAGATAGTAAGGTAATATCTTTCATAGAATCATAGAATATCCTGACATGAGGAGGGACCCACAAGGATCAGAGTTCAAATTTGGGTTCCACCCAGGACCACTCAAACATCAGACCCAATATGTGATTGTGTTGTCCAAATACTCCTTGAATACTCCAGCGCCAAGGTGCCATAACCGATGGGAGTGAGTTGCAGTGCCCTACCACCCTAGTCATTGCCTGAGAAGGAAAGGAACAGCATTTTGAGAGTGGATATGCAAACTTGCTTGTTAGCATTCATGGGTAATTTTCAAGTAATGCAGCTACTATGTAGTTCTTTTGCAGAACTTCTGCCTACTAACTTGAAAGAAGGTTGCTGTTCTGTGGACTGTGATAATGCCATTAGCAACAGCACTCTTTTAAGACTGCACCTTTACAAACCACTTGGTATATTTTTATTTTTTACAATATTGAAGACAGCAGAAATGATATACAGATGTCACAGAAGCTCTCTGCTGTAGCTTCTGAAGTGGCTTAGCTGGGGTTTTGATACACTCTCCAGTTTACTTTTTGTGGAGGAGTCTTAAACAGTGCAGTTATACGCTATACTGTGTTTCCTAATAATTGGCATTTGTGAAAGACTTCATTCTAAAGCTGGTGTTTTTTTTTTCTCTCTTTTGTATTTGAGCTGTCCTTAAAGAAATACATTCATTAGCATTATGGAAATGGCACGTTGAATTTAGTAAATTCAGCTAGCATGTGTCCCCAGCCATATAGGAATAGAGAAGTTATCTGTATGTCTGTTACAAATACCATATAGCCTCTTCATGTGAGAGTGCTAACATTTATTTCTGTTTATGAAAACTTTTTCTAAAAAACCTTGTGTTAACTATAAGTCTGTGTCAGCACTGTTTACCTCACAGTATATGTAAGTTTTATTTTTTTAGTCATGGCATGCTCCCCAGAAATAGCTGTTGTGTATTCTTATTGCAGTCATTAAATTGCTGGGATATGTTGCCTTGAGTTTATGATTTTGAGTTGCTTCAGATGCTTCTGTTAAATAAAATCTTCATACCTTCAATTTCTTTTTAATTGTACTATTGAATTATTTCAATATAGCATGGATCAAAATTCAGGACACTTCCACCGTTCTTATCTTGCTGGCCCCCACCCTTTCCAGCAGGACCACCAGTAAGTGAAGATGAATATTTATGATCTCAAACTTTCCAACTGAGTGTCCTGATCACCTGTCTTTTAGAGCTCATTTCTGTATGTTAAAGTCTGTATGTTAAAGTCTGTATTTTCCGGATATTTGGTAATGCGTTAAATTACACCTATACCAAGGATCTAATGTATGGAGCCTGATCATATGTTTTTTTGATAGGGAAGCTGTTGGTAGGAATATAAAGAGAGAGTACTTCAAGAAACTACACCTTTCTTTTTAAGTAACAGTGTTTCATTGATACAGATAAATATTTTTGCCTAATTAAAATCTTAAACAGCCAGGCTACAGGAACCTTGTTTCTCCTAGGCTTTGGAAGCTAAATGTTTCCTGGAAAGATTGCCTTGCTTGGTTCCATTTCTGAGCATGCACTGAGGGTATCTCTCTTGTTTTTAGTTTTATATTTTGATCATTTAGAATTTGTTGCTATTTAACCTGGACTATAATTCACTGAAACAAAGACAACTTGGATTTTTCTTTGTGATTTCTTAGTTGATTCCTCCTCCACCACCTATGGGGCCAGATTCTCCTGAGGATGATGAAGCGTTGGGAAGCATGTTGATAGCTTGGTATATGAGTGGTTATCACACTGGATATTATCTGGTATGTGCTATTTCTATCTGGAAATGTATGTCATATTGTTGTATTGTTAGATTTAAGGTTATTTTACATTGTGTGCATATTCTTACCTTGGAGGAGGAGTCATGTGAGCCCAGGTGTTTGGTCAGCTGACGTGTTTTTGTTTGGGTTTTTTTGAAGTTGTTTTTCCTTCTTAGAATCCTTTCAAGCACTCTTCTAACCAGTGTTTTATATCAGTATTGAAAGAACAGGTTCTGTGTTTGTAGGCAGGTGAAGCAAATATGAATGTAACTTTCTGTGTCCGAATATGGTTTTCTGTGTATTTTTTTTAGATTGGTAGTATCCCATTTGGCATCAGATCCAGCATTCTCCAGAGACTTTGTTAACCAGTAATTGTTTCAGATGCTTGTGGAGGCCTAGCAAAAGCAGTCAGCATAGCTGTTGAAAACATGCAATGTGGAGGGTTGATTTCTGTTCTTTGTATGGTTAATGATGGAAGAGAATTGTAGGAGGAATTTAACTCTTAGTATTCAGGCAGTTAGGAATGGGGATTTGGCTCCTCGGGTATCTTCAAATGAATAGCTTTAGAATTTCTTTGGGTTATATCCATAGATTTCTTTTAATACACTTTTAATACAAGAAATACATGTTTGTAATTATTTTGTAGAGGCATAGTACAAAATGGGGACACATAGTTTAGTTTCAGTCCTTTTTAATTCTTCAGGTCTCATCTCCCCAAGCAGTTAAGCACTATTCTTGGTTTGTAAAAGACTGAAAAAATCTTGTTTTTGCAGGGAAATAAAAGCTTTACCCAAATTGTGTTCTGCAGGGGTTAAAACAAAGTCGAATGGAAGCGGCTCTAGAGAGAGAAGCTTATCTAAAATAACTGAATAACCATCACTGTTTTGAAGGATTGTAAGTATGGTGATTTTGCACTAAGTGAAGATAGAGTCTCACCTGAAAATCTGATTAGCTCTTGGAAAGCATTTGATTCTATGCAAAAAGGTTGGGCTTCAGGAATTCCACCTGCTTTCATGGCTCTCTGTAAAGACAGTTTCTGTGAGAATTCATTCCTTTGCCTAGCACCAGTGGAATGTTATTTTCTTGGGTAGAATGGTGGACAGTATTTAAGTGCTGTGATGAGAGCTATAACTAACTGCTGTATCTCTCTGCACAGGTTTAACAGGATGGTTGACTTAAACTATTGTCACCATATCTACTTATTGTTTAAATTTCGCTAGGTGAAATGATAAAATATAGTTTTCATATTTATGTACGTATTTTAAAAAACAACTGTTTCTAGCCTGATGTGTGACTGCGCTTTGTTTTCTGGACGAAGTCAGTGTTTGGGCTTTCTCTTCTGACCTATTCTGTTCTTACTACTTCAGTGTTTGTGCTTTTATTAGTGATCTTTTGTTTAGAACTTTCCAATATATTTTTTGGTTCCTTGTAGGACAAAACTACATTCTTGCGAGTGCGTTTTCTGATTTTTCTGTGATAAGCGTGCTATTAAGCGTGCTATTTCTGTGCAGAAGAGTATTTTTGGTTTTGTTGTTTTATCGTTTCTGTTTTGTTTTTTACATCTGATTTACTAATTCTTGTCTTTTCTGAAGACAGGTACAAATGCTTGAGATGATGAGAGATGTTTATCACTTGTGCACTGGGTGATGGTGAAGATCAGAATTTTAGCAAAGATGATAAATCTTTGTTTTCGTAACAGTGAGCTGCCCATGGTAACAAGTAGACAAATTACTTGAGGCTAGTAATTGTATACGCACTGAAACAAGCTATTTCTTGAAGACGTTTTGGCATATGCATTTAGAAAGTACTGCTGCAGTGTTTTTTACTTTCTTGAAACAAAATAATAAATCCATCAAGTGTGGGTTTCGGTGATTTTTGTTGTTGTTATCCTTTATTAATGTTGTATTCCTTACACTTTTTATCTGACTGGTAACACCTGAACTAGCAATTGCAGCATACTATGTTAGGACACATTTATGACAGCAATTTGTGTTACTGTAGTTTTTGATGGCAATGACCTCAAAAAAACAGTATGCCTTCAAGTTAAGAAGAGTTGTCTTGTTTCAGGGGTCTGATCAGAATGCTGTGTATGGCCACTGGAGAGGCTCCTTTTCTGTTTGACATGCCTGTTAATAAAGTTCTGCTTTTTGAACTTTTACATTAAGCTTCTTGGTTTTCTCTTTGTTCACTTTCTGCTGACTGAATTACTGAAGTTCTGGCATGATTTCATGATGTGTTCTACTTGTTTTCCTGTAGTACTGTAGAAAAACCAAGTGTTTTAGTAGGAGATTGTGATAAGGTAATTGAAATCATGGACTTAACATTTTGGCCCTTATCATTGTAGTTCTTGTGGAGTGGAAGTTGTGGCCACAAAACTGAATGATGATTTAGTTAATGTCAGCAGTTTCTATTATGGGAAAAGTAGCCCAATATAGTTTTCCAACTCTGTTCAATTCCTTTCCCTATGAAGCTTTCAAAGTGGCTTCAGGAAATTTTTCTTCCATTGTCTAGTGAAAGTAAAGTAAGATTGCTCACAGTGATACTAAGGTTCTAAATCAATGGTTCATCAGCTGCTTGTTGCTGAAGGGAGACAACTGCCATCCACTTCTATAGCTAGTCCTGTGGTAATATCTGGAATAAAGTTACAAGTGTTCTCAACCAATTTTTAGCACTAGTAAAACCTGACATCCAGCATTATCCTTAGTTCACTCCTGTTATACATAGGCTTATGATTTCTATTTAATGGTAAATTATTTGTATAATTAATTTCATTACAAGAACAAGAACTGAATAGCAATAATTTTTTATTTTAGCAGAATTGTATGTTTTTCAACTGAAGGTATCAGTTACAGAATTAAGGCAGCTAACTTTTTTCAATTTGTATTAATTCTATCTTCTCTTCCTTCTTTCTCTTATAATGTTGTTGCTGTAGAAGAGACCAGTATATTTCATTGTAAATATTTCTACAGAATGTGTTTAATTGCAATGCAGGAACAGTAGTTTATCATATTGCAAGGGGAAAAAAAAAAAACGCTTTCAAACGTTTTTAGTCTTAAACAGTAGGTAAAAGTGGCAGGAGCCATTGCCAAGATAATATTTAACTCTAGACTGTTCCAGTTAAACATTCTAGATCAAATGCTTTGAAGTCCTCTTCATTAAGGAGCCAATCCTGCATTCTTACTGTCAGAAGGCCAAGCAGTCAAGAAAAACATGGGACAAAAACTCTGGCAATTGATGCGCTTGGCTTTGATCTGTCCTCATAGGACTCAAGTTCATCTCTTCTGAATCAGGACCGTTATTCAGTGTTTTAAACTTTCTCCTATCTGTTTCTGTAATAGTGTAACAGAGAAAGGTTGTAAAGCTTTCTGGAAACCTCTAGAGCTTGCACCTTTCCCTGTAAAAAATAAGCAGAAATCGATAAGATTTGAAGATGCTCCAAACACATCTGAAAAATGAATCCATACACAAAGAAGCTGAGGACTTCAAAAATAAATTCTAAGAAGTTTTTCTTATTAAGTCAAAAAAGTATAATTTTGAACTCAATTCATTAAGTAGTTTAATACCAAATAATAATGAGACTGATAAAATACAGGATAGTTTAGTGGGCGTGTTAATTGTTAGTAAAAGGATGTCAGTGTGCTTATGAGCTTACAGAGACGAAGCGAATACAATCCCATCTTATGCAACCACTTGAGATCAGCTTTGTGCACCTGCAGGATATTGAGTTTGATATAATCACTTCTACGCCTGTGTATCGCTTACATTTGCTTTTCATGTTTGCTTTATGGTCAGCCTGCTTAGGAGATACACTAAAAATAAATGTCAAAAATAAAGAAAGATGATATGATTGACTTAGCATTTGCTTATGAAATAAGTCATTCTCCCTAGCTTATCTATGAATTGTTTTGAGACTGTCCTAAATAAGAATTCAATAAATGTTTTGGTAGTACACTAGTTCTAGCAAGTAGAGATCTCAGCTCTACATCTATAATATGAGATGTAAACTAACCATTCTATGATATACATTGCCAAACTCCCCTCTTGTCCCCTCAAAAAGTACAGCTGACCCACAGTCAAAAGAAGCAGTACCATTTTATTTGTGTGACACACGTGCAGTGAAACCCTGAGAGGCTCACAGGCTCCTCCTGCACATCATTAGGAGGTGACATCAGAGAGCTCCGTTTCTGAAGAATTTCAGAAGGATAGGGTATTGTTTGGCCATAGCTGAGTGTCTGGGACTTCCTTCCAGAAATAACCATGATCACTTTCAGTTAAATGAAGATGAACTTGTTAGTGAATGCAAAGAATGAACAAATATCTTCATTAATAAGCTGGCAGCTATAACTTTTAATGTTTTCTTCACCATTTCAGTACTATGAATTTATGTTTTTGGGGCACTAAAACTTTATTGCCTTCAAAATTAACACCATCATCTGATACATGCAAACAACCCAAATTGTTTGGCCGCTTCTAGGAGACAGCTATATACAGCAGAGAGCTGGTAAAGCCTCTGGGCACTTCGGTACTATAGAAAATTTACTCCTGAACTGTTAGCTCTATGCTTGCATATCAGTGTTGTTTTTCAGCATTCACTGTGTAGGAATTCTTCCCTCAGGAATCCACACAGGTATTGACAAAACCATTGAAATGGCCACAGTACAAGGAAAAAGAAAAGATCAGAAGAAAACATGGCAGAAAGTTATTTCAGCTTTGTTTCTTTTGTATGCAAAAGCACATACGTGTGGGAGCTTGTATGCCACGGACATACACCTCCAGTTTCCTCAAGTATGCTTAAAAAATCATTCTGTATTTTCACAAAATGATATAATTTACTTGTATGTTTCATCTGCATAGAAATGACTTTGACCTGCTAGGAGATTTGATTTATATTCACAAATTACAAAAGCAAGAAGTAGCTGACAAATTCTGTACTGTTCATTGCCTTAGTGTATGGACAATCTATAAATCCTAACTCATGTTGATGACAGTTTTGTCAGGCAAAGCTGATGTTCAACACTTCTCAAACTACAAAGTATATTCAACATTGTCCTCCTTTCAAATTGAGCTGTTACCCGTTCCTACAGAATTTAGAGTTGCTTTTACATCAAAGTTTCTTTATAAGTTTGCTAGAACAAAATAAGCCCAGTTGTAACCCCTTAGTAATTATTATTTAGTTCCAACTGAGTTGCTCAGGTACCAGCAAGCACCAGTAGCTACAACAGCAGTTTATAACAGGAGAGGTCCTGGTTCTGTTTTTTCACTCCATCAAAATTCTTTGATCTGTCCTTAAGGGAGGACTTCATTTGTAAGTCACCTACACACTGCATTCTTCCTGTAATATTCTGCCACCCTTTGGCTTTGCTGCCAACCAAGGTTGTGAGACCCTGCTCTGAGAGAGCACAGCTGCATAACCTTGACTGCAAGAGAAATCCTTGGGAAAGCAACAGAGATGCAAGAAGGAAACCATTACAGACAGAGGTAACACAGGTGAGACTCCTCTCCAGGACCTGGAGATGACCATCAACAAAATAAACTATGTAAATATAACAAAATACTTTTGGCACATGTCATCTTAAGAAAAGGGAGTCCTTTTCTACGTAAAGCCTACAGAGACCATCTGGAGACAGATTGAGATGTTAGACTGAGATATTTCAAACTGTTAGAGGGCTGAAGTTTTCCCAGCTGACTGAAGATCTCTGGGTGCAAGGATGATCTCATCTTGAACATCTTTTATGCTCTTTGTATCAGCTGTTGTTCTCTTGGAAATAAATATGAGGTATTACTTGCAGTGCAATCAACGAGATTACCACCACTCCAAAAATTCCATCGCAGGTTTCAGTGTACTTTTTGGTTTATTCACCAGAGTTCCTGCTTTGAATGCAATCATACCTTTAAGATACCAAAGCCTCATTCCTCAGGATTTTTCACAACAGAAGCTCAATAAAGTAAAGGCAAACTTTTTGTTGCTGTTGGCATGATTCATGTGATACAGCGACTGGAAGAACAATCACAAAGCCTAGAGGATTCTCGAGATAGTATGTAAAGCAATATATATCAAATAATTAGAAGGTTTGAGAAAGACTTTTATATGTTCCAGCACTCAGAAACAATACCATTCTGTTGTGCTTGGCTGTTTGATACATGATTTACCCACCCTCTAAATCCTTCCCAGTCCTTGTATCCCCCATGTGGATGTTCTCTGATAAATTCTTTTGTGTTCCTTCCAACTCAGGATATTCTATGGTTCCCTTTACTAAAGTGACTTCATTAAAGTGTTTGTTTCCTGCACTGTTTTTCTCAAATACAGCTTATCTCTTGGAATTACTCACTTTTTGTTATTTGTACTGTGGAACAAATAAAATATTTTGCTATGTGATGGTTCAAGATTATCTACTGTTCAGCCCAATAATAACCACGTTCTATTGCCCTCTGCTTCCAAAATGCTTTTTTTCCTCTCGAATAACTGAGGGAACTCAAGAGTCTTACACATATATATTAGATGTATATCAGATTCATACCTAGGAAAGTGATTTGAAATCTAGGATATCCAACCTTTTTAACTTTTTCCAGAAATTACTAAAATTACATTCTTCTCCAGTAGGAAAACACGCATTAAATTATTTTAGTGCTTTCAAGTCCTAAAAAAGAAAATGCTTCAAAAGCTGTAAATGTCTTCAAGTTCTCCTACCTTGCAAAAAAACACTTTTAAGAATTGCACTAAAAAACATAGAATTGCAGGGTTTGGAAGAGACTTCTGGGGATCATCTAGCCCAACCTCTCTGCTAAAGCAGGTACTGGAGACTAGACTGTACAGGATAGCATGTGCCAAGCCACCTGTTGTGATATGAGCACTGAGCTAGACTGCCAACAATCTGTATTGTATCCAGATGGAGGTTGCTGGAAGCCCAGGCTGGTGCCTGAATACATGCAGCAATGGACTGTGAGGTCACCGGCCAAGCAGTTGTGATCCTCACTAAGAATTCAGATGGTAGCAGAGTACAACACAGACTCATGCCTAGACTCAAGTTGGGCATATCTGCGAGACTTGGAGCACAAAATGAGGCTTTGGTTGTGCTGTGGGGTTGACAGCAGCCCATCCTACAGCACTGTCAGTTTCATCAGCCCTGCATGGTTCTGGCAGCTCAGGCCCTGAAAGGTGTGTTTGCAGTAGCAAGCTTTTAGTGAGCAGTGTGGGGACAGCTCTGGAGCAGCTGGAGATGAGCATGGGCTGGGAGAGTTTGCTGTGAAAGACAGCCTTGCTCTCCTTTGCAGTTTGTGACAGCTTCTGTCTGCTGCAGCACCAGCGAAGGAAACAGCCTCACTCACCACACAGCCCAGAATCCAGAATGGATCTGCCCCCTCTGTGGGGACATCTGGGATGCTGTGACTCATCTCCACCAGCTTTGCTACAGCTGTGCCCTCTTATGGGTGAAGAAGCTGAGTTCTGCCAAATACAGACACAAGATCAGGACCTTCTGATGGTTGGTGAGGTCAGACAATTATTACCTTGCATGTCCTATCCCTTCTTTGCAACACAGTGTTTATAGTCTGCAGAATGTGCATGGGCAGGCAAAACCTGTTGCTCCTGGCTCTAGAGCACAGCTTCCCAACTGGGGTCTGCACTGCCTGGATGCAGTACTCAGGATGAGTCTTCATTAGGGCAGAGCAGAGAGGGACAATCCCCTCCCTCTCTCTGCTGGCCACCCAGGATACTTCTGGGCTGCAAGAGTGCACTGCTGGCTCATGTCAAGCTTTTCATTCATCAGAACATTAAACAAATTGCTCTAAAATATCTTTGTTAATTTCTTAGAAAAATATTTTGCTCTATTCCACAATCCTCTGAAAGAGATGCATATATTTTCAAGGCTTCTCTTTTGAACAAACATGAATCATCAGATTCATCACACTAATATATAAACTAGTTTTATTAATCCCACATTTACAAATGTACATGTTAACCCACAGCAAAAGTAAGAAAAACGCTGAATTTTTAAAATAAATATATTCCTAAATTATCTGTATCTGATTAACAGTTAAAAGATTATTAATACCTCAGGTAAGTGTTATACTTGCTTCCAAGCCAGTGTTCATTCTTCTGCAATCGTTCCTCTTTGAGGTGCCTCACTGAAAGCCAAGTCTGAACAAAAAACACAGATTTATACAAGACTGATACAACAATCTCTAACAAAGATGACATCATACAGATACAGGAGCAGGGTGCTCATGAATACAGCCAGGACAGCAGTGCAGGGAATCATGAATAAATATGTCGCATTCCACACAAAATGCATTCTTGCACGTTTTGCATACATAAACCTGGAAAACGTAGAAAAACAAGTCAAATTAGAAGAAAATTCCCCACCAACACATTACAGTAGAGCAACAGTCATCATCAAGATAGTAAAAACAAATGGATATTGCTTGCAATATATATCCAAAAGAAACACTAATTCCGTTGGATTTCAAAGAGCAATTATGTCAAAAGAGTTGAGTTTGAGTCACTGCTTCCACATCCTGACGAGTGGAACCTTATCCATGTAAGTTTAGGAAATCCTTGCCCACACTTGCATAGCCTCTGAAGTCTCAAAGGCACAGCTATGACACAGAACTCTATTTAGCAGAGAATAACACTGCAAGTATTATTTTTTGGCCTCTAGAAGAGTACTTTTTATGACTGATTCTTTGACTGCTTATACGTGTGGCACCTCTCCATGCACATTCCAAAGTACTTACATTTTGATCTTTGATTTCTGCTTGGCAGCCTTGACAATACCTAAAAACAAAATTGTTTATAAATTGAAAATTACAAGATAATATATAATGGTGTTTAAAAACATATCCCACATATCAATCACTTATAGGACAATTTCAGGTATTTAACTGAATGGGCAGATAACTGCTAATGTAACTACAAACACTTTTTCCCAGAAGTGATCGAAAATCTCCAAATATTTAACAGCCTCTCTAGCAGTATGGAAGCCACTGACAGGAAGGTGAAAAAAAAAACACAAAAACAACTGTATTATCAAAGGTAGAGTTATTATCACAAGTATCACTTCATACCGTTCTCCCTGATATTCTTCCAGCGGAATTTCCTGAAAGGCATCCAAAGGAAACAAGTGGTGGTAAGACCGAGCCAGATGAGGTGCAGACACTAGTGTAAGACCTGCAAATAAAAGATACCAATATTACTATAAGAGACAGGTAATAAACATATAACTCCTTTATTTTGCCCAGAATTCTAATTAGAAGAATTAACTCAACTTCAGAAGTACTGAAGAATGTAGCCTTCAGTAGAGTCTTCAGTAGAGGTTACTGTTGCAAATCCTGCTTCTCCTCCTCTGTGACCAGTAACGAGAGTTTCCTCTTTCCCCTCCTTCCTCTCATTATGCTTTTATTCCACCTCAACTCTTTGTTTAGTTTCCCTGAAAGCAACTTCTATCAGTAAAGGGTCTGTAAACCAGGAGTTACAGACACTGCAAACAAATCCTGCAGTGTGTAAATATCACTGTCAATATCCTTAATACAACAAACCCATCCTTCCCACAGATGTGAATGGCAGCTTGTCAGTTACTTGTTCTATTCTGGTGAACAACCACACATGTACTACTCACTGATGTCAGGTAGTAGAATGTCTACAACTTCTTATGTTTTGATATATCACATATTCTTGTTAGCAAGTATTTCTAGTGTTCCTGCCTTTCTTTTCCATCATGACCTTGATTCCAGGAATCAAGAATAGCAACAACATTTTTTAATATAATTACTGCAAACATACATTCTGTGAAACTTTACAAGATACATACATGCTGCATCTAGGCTCAGTGATGTCAGTAACAGTTCTGCACGCACAAGGACTTCAGCAACAGGCACATGAACAACAGATTATTCGCAGTAAACAGTATGGTACAGGTTTACAGCGGCAGTTCTGAAAGTCCCTTGCATGAAGCTGAAATTCCAGAAATTAAGTAGAGCTGGCCTTTAATTTCTGAGCACAACTGTATTTCAACACTCCTTAATGTTCTTATCATTAGCACATAATGCATGTGCTCACCTGCTTTTGTTACTCACCACAGATCTTGCATTCCACAGGAAGTTCACAGTATTTGGCTCTGCACTGAGGACAGAAATACCCATCCAATGTAAGACATGGCTCACTGTTGTTTTCCAGTTGTCTAGAACAGAGGAAGTCAATTAAATGCTTAAGAGAGAACACCATATAAACGAACAAACAAACACAAACAGTTCTCTTAACAAACAGTTAATTTTCAGTAGCTTCTACACACCAAAATGTATGGAAGTATTCAGTAACCACATATTCCCACAGATGTAAAGCAAAGACCAAATACTCCCATATAAAGGAGTCAATAAACTTTGGAAAAAAAATTATTAAGGATGCCTGTACTAATACTTCTGCTTCCCCACAACATTCTGTACTGACTAAGATGCATGTCAGTACTTATTCTTTCAAAGAGCAGATTGTTTGTCCTAAAAACTCAGGCTCTTCTACCATCCTTAAAACTACAATTCCTTTCATTACAGGGACCAGCACATTAAACAAACAAGGTTTCAGTTCTAAACATCTTTTTAAAGCCAAGTTAGTGAGCAAATTAAAAAAAACTTTACTACAGAGAATGCTCTTTATCATCAATTTTTTTCTGTAAGGATAGAAGTATTTTAATAAAGAAATGTCTTTAAAATTGGCAGTATTAATAAACATATCTAAAAGCCATTTTCTACCTTCAAAAAAAGAAACTAATGTGAATTTTATAATTCGTATTTTAAAGAGGTAACCATGGCCATAGAGTAGATATGCAAACAGAAGTAAGATTTTCACTGAGAAGTCTCAACACAGTGCTTGCTAGTCCTTTTTCATGTTATTTTGCAATATTTTCACTGAATCTGATACATATTACTGCATAACCTTCAGTTCTGGTCAGCTCACTGAATTCTCATCAACTCTACTTACGCCATGCTGAAGGATGGCTTTGCATCTTGGTCAGAAAGGGAAGCAATGGTGTGCTGAGGAAAACCTGAAGAGAAAAACATTTTCTATTATCGATTTTAAACAAGAGTAATCTTTCAGTTTCAACGGTAATAGAGAAGTTCAAATATCATGCAAAATATCTCTTTTGTTTGCTACTACAAGAATTAAAACACTTTTAACAAGCAACAAATTTTCCTTAAAGTCTCTATCTACATCCACCAACAAATCCCTCACTGTATTTCCCATAACTGATATTCTTTTTTTCCCATGAACTTCCTATTAACTGAAAGTTACTGGAGCTAGTTTTTGAATAAAAAGCTTAAGAAGAAAATGATGTGCAATGGTAAGAAATTAGAAGGAGCACAACATAAATGTACACTTGAACAACAATTCCTATTACAGGGAAAATAATACACAGACATTAAGTGTAAAATCTCCTTTCAAGCACAGTCTCATCTACCACTATGCTACAGCACTTTATGAAGGCTAAAAGGCATTTGTCTTTCTATGCCAGATGTTTTTACAGCTCTTCTCAAGTATCCAGTTTATTTCTTAATACACACACAGACATACACACACACACACACACAAATATATATATTCCCTCTGTGAAAATGGATGAATGAAAGAGAGAAGTCAATGCTCTAATCAGTTGCATTAGTGGTACTATTCCAGTTTAACTCTAGGCTTAAATTTATTGAGAAATACATCAGGAGAAGAAAAGGTACCTAATCCACCTGCTTAAAGGTGCACCATTGTACTGTGCTTTCTAACAAACACGTGCAAAACAGCCTTAAAGCCAATTTGTCTTATAATATTTGTCTTCTGTGGGAGTAAATACGGAGGGAGAAACAATGCAGTTTTTCATCATTCATTTTTCTAAATATTACATTTACAACAACTGCTACACAGGCACTGTTATTCATCTTCCTGCTAAAGATGCAATTGAGCAATTTGTCTCCTTTGTTACAAGCACTTTTTTAAGAAGCTTGCTACTTTGTAGGAACAACATTCAATAACTAGAAGAATGCTTAACAAAACAAAAGCTAACTCACTAAAAAAATCATATACCTTTATTGTGCTTCTAACCACTTGCTTTGTTTTCACATAAAAGACACAAAGACTGAAAAAGACAGAAGATTTGCAGATTTTGCACCAAAACCATACCCTACCCATTCGAATAAGGGAGCACTCCGAACTTGAACTGGCAGGTGGAGGACTAACATGATGCATCAGCAGTTCCTTATAATGACTTTCATCTAAAATAACGTGGTATGTTCCTGCCATGACAAAGAAATGCCTTACTCTCATATTATGCATTATGACCAAGAAGACAAGGGAAACGTTCTCCAATTAACAGAAAATAACAACATTTGTGTATTAAAAAAGAAACAAAAACAAAAAAAACAACTTTTGGCAAAAAATATATATATTTTTTAATCCAAAAAGAAAACATCCCTGTGAATACTACTGAAAACAAGATTTATCATTAACACTATAGAATATTCACTTGTAAGTGAAGGCCCTCAGCTGCATCACCAATTACATGGTAAGAATTACCACTGATGTAATAAATGATACTAAGAAATCATATCATGTTCCACATCGTGCAGTTTTCTTACTAGAATCCTGTTTTAAAACTATTTCACTGAACAGTCTGTATGTCACAGAATTGAGAAACATTTTACCTCCTGCTAGAACTACAGACTATTCTTTATCACCAAGACACGTTAAAGAAAATAACAAACTAGTTATTTAATTTTGATTTAAGATATATTTGATCAGTGCCATTACAGTCCTTCATATACATACCTCCAGTTTCTCGGGTCAGTACTGTACAGACTCGAACTTCAGCACTTAGACCAATGACAGACACTCTGATCTTAACTGCTTTCAAACACTTCATATGGAGAAAGAAAAAATGATCAGATTTGTACACTGAGCAATAAAGAAGGATTGAAGTTGTCAAGTTGTCTAACAGGTTGGAGGCTAAAACTACTAGTTGAACTTTGATTCTGTACCTTGATTAGCTCATAGATGTTGGCGGGATCGCATGTTGTAAGACTACTGAAGACTATTAAAACCTCTCTGCTTGTATGTCCTGGCATATGCCTAAAGAAAGCACACAGTTTATTTCATTACATTAAGCAACACATATGATAATGTTCCTGAGGATTTTAATGTACTAATATCAGAAAATGATCTGATAGGAAGTTGATTGTAAAATCCTGAGAAACTTTGATAAGTTCATTCTGAGTTTCAGATTTCTTCTTCTAAAATCCGATTTTTCCCAGTATCTAACACTTAGTACACAACTGTGCAATTGTGATCTGATTGTGATGATGTTCATGTTATTTCCATATCTTACCCACACACTCCCAAGTAAAATTCACCATCAAACCAGCAACACTGCAGTTAGTCTTCCTAACTTTTTAAAATAGAAGTCTCTTGCAGATGCAAATCTACTGCTTTTAACTCCACCCTCTTCTCTTACTTCTTAATTGAGAACTCTCCTGGAAGCACTTTTTGAAATACGTTTTGTGACATTGATATGACATGTGACATTGACTATGAGCTAGAAATGCTGCCAGAACAAAACTAGCTGCTAAACCATTTTCACCAAATGCTTTCTTAAATTAAATGACACACACTGCAAAAAATAAAATCTTTAAGTCTATCCTACCTCAAAATCTTACCTTCCTGAAGTCTGTCAAAACTTCAATCAGGTTACTGTGATTCAATACAGTTTCTTTCCTGTTCTCTTAAAATTATTAATCCTCGGCTCTCTCTTTAACTTAGTTCTCTATTAAAAACACACAGCAGGGTCTATAATCATATTTATACACTAGGTAAAATCATCCACTTTTTTTTTTTTTTTTTAAGATGCTGTTGCTTGCTGTAAGAAGCTCGTCTCTAAATGGAAACGTCTTATGTTAGAAAACTGAATATAATACCTGTCTAGAAGATACCTCCTTAACAGTTTGCATTGTATGAGGAATCAAAGCCATCTTCTGAAGACTCATAGCAGCACCATGAAAGACACTACTTGTTAAAAACTAAATACTGACTCCATCCCTTCAAAAATTCACAATCAGCATTATCCTGATGATGGAAAACAAAGAAAACACAAAACCCCGTTTACATACTAACTTTAAAGTCTGCATGGCCAAATTTAGAGAATTATACAGAGATGGCTCTCCCTGGCAGTTCATATCCACTGCTTTCTTCAGAGCAGCTATGTGCTTTTTTGGGTTACCTGCAAATGAATAAAACAGTTCAGCTGAAATAACTAGTTTAAAAAATGTAATATTTAAGCTATACATTTTATGAAGTGCACTTACACAGCAAGAATTTTCAAACCATGACTTCTAAGTATGTTTTCCCTTAGAAGTGATCTCAATCTAGAAAGTAATCTTTTACAAAAAGCTAGACATTGCAGATATTCCATCTCTAGAAACTTCAAGAAGCCAAAAAGGCAGAAAACTATCATTGTTTCACATGAACTAAGCAGTCAGAGTGAATTATCTCACAAATTCCAGGAGAAACAGAATTCAATTTCCTGATATCCTCAAAATACTACTTAAGCACCAAGGAACTCTAATTCCTTCAGCTTTTCAGGTGGATAAAGAGACAGCATTTATATCCACATCTCTGAAGACACATTTCTTGCTGGTGACAGAAAGCAAGAACCCAAGAAATCTTGCTTCACAACAACTCGCCAAACATCAGCAGACACAAAGCTGACATCTAGATTGAGAAATTAACTGCACTGGCAAAAGATCTGCAGTTTTAAAAAAAGATACTGCCTCCCTACCTGAAAGCTCTGTCATCTTCTCAGCTCTTTTACTCTTGGTTACAATTAAGCCCATCTGGAGAGGGAAACAAAACAGCAAAACTTAATGATTGTAAAAATATGTTGATTTGGGTCTGCTGACATCTCTGCTATGTTTTCTTTACACCTGTAATCACAAAAATTTGTCTTTTGGTTTTATGCTACATCAGGAATAACAAACAACAACTATTGGAGTGAATCTGACTTTAGTCAAGTGATTCCTCATCATTCTGATATCAGCTACCTACAACAAGCGCAGAAAACAGGTAAGTAATTAAAAATGTTTACCACTGTCTCTTACAGTAGTGAAGAAATACAAGTACTGGACAGAGCCAGAGGAAAACACTGATGATGGGAAGTCCCACTTAGATGGTCTCCTACTGCAACTGAAACACTGAACCTAATGCACCCCATCATTATTTTACTAGTTCTCATTACATTGTGCTTCTTGTTAACTACTGGTTTAAACACGAAGGTTTGAAGGATGCCAGGTTACATTCATCTGGCATCCTTCAAACTTTGGCACCCTGACAACTTTCAACTGCCAAGCTGCACTGCACAAAGGGCTCCCTCATGCACACGAGACAAGCTAAATTTTCAGTTAATTAAACAGAGCACATGAAAGCAAAGAAATACACACGCACAGGCACTTTATTCATAGGCACAGAAAGGTGACCACACTGCCACGCTGTGGAAAGATGGAGTGATTTCAGTCACAGGACTGTTGTGGTGGTGCAGCCTCCAGATGGCTCTGCTATCTCAGAGTACTGGACTTCTGCCTCTGCCCAAGCACAGTGAGTTAGGAACTTCCTGACCACACCTGGAATTCCCGCTGCCTGGCTTATGACCTCATCTAAGAGCTACCGGAATCTTCAGTCTGGAATTCCATCATGGTTGAAAAGTTCCAGAATGACCTCACCTGAGCTGTAGCCAGAATGGAACATTACTGACAGAAGTAAATTATCTTGAGGCCCTACAATAATGATCCTAAGCAAAAAGCCGCTTGAGGTCTGCAGGGCTGCAGCAGGCTGCGACCTTCGACAATAAAGTGCTGATTAAGTGCTATTAACAATCACACAATCTTGTGATTTACTATAGAAGTATTTAATAAATCTTCAATTGCTGCTAAATCAAACATGCATAAAAATCTGCTCATGGCATTGTCTCTTGCATGGTTTCACTCACCTGACTAATAGGATTTTGGTCAAAGTACTCTTCAACAAAATATTCCAGTAACTATAAAGAAAAAATGAGACTGTTAAAAACTAAATACAGTTTTGCTCCACATCTAATAATCTGCTGCTATACTATTTGCAAAACAGTTGGATCAATCAAAAAATAAGGGAGGGGGGAAATAAGCCTGTCCCTGCCATTTGCTGCCCTTTGCCCAAGCCCTTCCATCCTTTTCCTTCCAGTGTTACCTGTGCAAACCAATACCAGATACTAGCAATTTTTTTATTTTATTCACTTCATAAGCTGAAGCTCTGTATTACATTAATTCAAAGACATACCAAAAAGCATTAATCTGTACAAAATCTTCAGAACTCAGGATTTTAATGCTTTGTATTATATGATCTTTCACTAATAACACTGTGTGTACAGTTCAAGTCTGAAGTCTATCATCTCAAGCAGCAATACAAACTCCTGTCTAGCATCTATTCAAACCACAGTTCCAAGAACAAAAGGCTGTTAAATGTGTAATGTTCAATGTTTGTTCTTCAATCCAATATTACAGCCCCCATTTCACCTTGGTTTCCACACTGTTGAAGACTTCCACTGTCTTTGCTGTATAGAAGTACTCCTGCAACATATTCTAAAGTTACATAGCTTTTACAATTCAAAAAAGGGAAACTAAACTACCCCAGGAAAATCACTGATCAGCAACAGAAACAAGGGAAAAAAAACCAGTAAGTATGAGAGGAGAGACGAGGCTGTGTAAAAAATCTGGTTGCAGGAGACTGTCATTCTTTTAAATGCAAAATGGAAGTAATTTAAAGAAAAGGAGCGGATTAATAAAGAGGTAAGTTTTGAGTACAGAAATACCTTCAAAGTGCAAGTAAGTCTGTTCGGTTTTAAATCTTGGTCCTCCATAGTTCTTGATCCATCAACAACCACATAAAGGTGACGCATCTGCATTATCACCAGAAAATGTTAATTCTGCTACAGGTTTATGCTTTAACACAAGGGCCAAGTTTTTGCATTTTTGCATTTCTCCTCTGAAATGGAACAAAAGGCCATCTATCTTGAAAAACATTCACTGCTCTTTTCCTCTGAAGGCCAGCTACAAAAAGCTTGCACCCATTCAATGTCTTTATTAGAAGACCTTGTTGTTGCATAAAGCAACGTTGTAATCTGCAATTCAAGAAAGCTATTCATTCCTCAAATGGAAAAAATTCCATAGTTAAGCACGCACTGGCTGGCTGCATCTTTGAGGTGCACTCTGCACACACACCAAACCGGTGCTCCACAGCTCACCCTGCTGCCTTCAGAAAAGAGAGAAAGAAGGTGCAAGCTCTGCTCTTAAGCATGTCTAGTCAACACAAGCTGCTTCAGGTTGGCCATGCCACCTCTGCTGAATTTGCTGTGTGCTCAGGACGCCATAGGATGGTGACGTACCATTCCCAGCCGGACTTGTCCATGGTGCTCGTAGATTCTGACAAAATACACAGAAAGTTTCAAGTAAGATGCAGGTGAAGGAATGGGGGCTGAAACAAAGTCTGGAACTAACACAATATTGCAACAGAAAGTACCCATAAGCCACAGATGTGTATTTCCACTGAGAAGAGGCAAAAGGTGTGATTGCAATCAACCCTTCATCACGGTCAGACTGCATGCCTCTTAAACAAACAGAAGAAAACCCAATGAACTGAACACAGTACTTGCCATGAGGTTCATCACTTTACTGTTTCACACAACACTGGTTGTTTTAATGTAATCTGAAGCAAGGCAAGCCCATGGTTTTAATCTAGCTGTTCTCCAGGCAATGTGACACAGAACACGCTCTGCCCTCTGCAAAAACTCTCGGCAGGTTTCTGGAGCAGACCCACGCCACCCAGCTCGGATCACCGAGCACAACGGCGACAGGACCACCGTACCTCTTCCTCTTCGCCTTGAAGAGGATGTCCTCGATGGTTGCTTTCAGCGATCCGGATTCATCTTCCTTCAGTACTTCCCTACGGAAAAGGGCGATTCCTGCTGAGCACTTGAAGGCTCTCCTCGTCCTGCGCCCACAGCGAAGCGAGGAATGGAAACGAAAACCTACCACGTCCTCTCGTAGCCTCCTTCCCAGCGCTTAGTCCTCTCGGGCTCGTCGTCCATGGCCGCGACGCCGCTCTGCCACATCTGGACCAAAGCTCCGCTGCCGGCGGGCGGGCACAGCTGCAGCGCGGCGGGCACACGCACACCCACTTCCTCTCACGCCGGAAGTGCCCTCCCTCAGGCCGGATGTGCCGTCCCCCAGGTCGGATGGGCCCGCTGCGCCCCGTCGCGGTGCTGCAGCCGTGAGCCTCCGGCTGCGCCCGCCATGCGCGCTTTTCGTTCCTCCCGAGCGGCTATGTGCCTGGAAGGGGTCCTACAGAAACAAAAACAGTTCTGTTCCATAAAGCGTACAAAACGAAAGCACGTTGTTTAAACATAGTTTACAAACTACCCTACCTGCGGACGAAGAAGCAGCCAGTATATACCGGCGAATCTTCTCCAGGCTCCATGCATGCAGTCAGAAATCTTCCTGAGCATTTCTTCTCCACGACTTCAGTTCTGAAAAAACTGTTTCTCCTACTCTTACTTCAATATAAAAATCTGGAATCAACATAAAAACAAGCAAAGGCAAGCAAGAATCTTTATGCAGCATACGCATGCTTAATGTACATTACTTTACAACCCATGTAAAAGAGATGTTTTCAAGCAGAGTTTGAAACTCAAATATTATTAAGAAAGTATAGCATATCAGTAAGAAATACATAGTTTTAATAAAGGAATGTGTAAAATTGAATCAAAATGCTCTGAAAACCTGTGTTTTCTTGATTGCTTGTTTCTTGTTCCCCTCTCAAGTATCTGGCACCCAGATCCTCTGCAAACATTAATTTACTCATTAATACATAAAAAACTATACAAGAATTTCTACAAATTCAAGCTCTTTCAGTTTTACTTAATTGATCCCTTAACAGCAAGCTTGTACTGTATTTATTGTCATCGTTAAAAATGATATGGCACACTTGTTTTAGCTGCTTTAGCTTGATCCAATCTGCCAGAGGTAATACTCAGGACTGAGACAAGCAGTACTCTAAGCTCACCAAGATTTTCAGAAGCATCATCATAAAGATGAGCTCAATAAAGTGAAGATCACTGTAGCCAATTTCTCTGCAGAACAATCACAGCATTGCTGAATACAATGGAAGTGTGCCAAGAGTATGTTTGACCTTTTGAATTACAGGAAAAATCACCAAGCATCCGTTTTTAAGGCGTGTCACTCTGCATCCAAGTAAGCCAAGAACTGAGGAAGAAAACATTTAAACATAAGTAACATTTCCATAAATAGGAGTGGAATACAGCTTTCACACTGTTGCAGATATCAGGAGAAACATTAACAGAGGGGAAACATAGGAAAAGATAATTTTCAATTAAACCAAAGTCAAGAAAAATCTGTGACATTTAGACAAAAGCAGTGAAAACTATTTAAGATGAAAAAAACCAAATTGTTAGTTCTAAGAAAATTTGCTTCTAGCAGTCACATGCCATCCTTTCTTAAGAATTCCAATTTATAAAATGTTGAAATGGAAAGTTGGCACAAGCCAACATCATTAGTAGAAAAGGTAGAAACAGGGCTTCTTTCAGAACAGGGATGTCTTTTATTGTCATGGGAAAGAACTCAGATTCCAGACAGGAATGCTGGACATAAGAGCAGACAGTGAGTGTTCACATGCTTCAAATCCCATTGTAATTTTTGAATTATGAAATTAAAAACTCAAAACCAGATCCATTAGGTTTTTCATTAGCACCAGTACTTTTAGTTGCTATGTTGTTGTTAAAGCTAGTCAACCACACTATGTAATGCAAACTCTTGATTACATTTATTAGACACTATCTTATTTATTAGGCTCAAGGCATAAGACATTTGTGCAAAAACGTACAGAGCCATTTATTAAGTACAGCTTGAAAACTCATATTCCAGGAAAAGTAATTATTTTTTACTTTTGCCTTTGCTGACTGGAGCAGCTACCTGGGCATTTTCTAAGATGTAGACTGGAGAATGAAAGGTCTTGTTCCATACACTCATTATCTGAGGACAGATTTTATTTGAAAGTGTCTGCTGTATGCTTGCTGATGTATAGATATACTATGCAAAAACCCATCATGCTAGTAAGGTCATACAGCAGACTTTTTAGATGTACACACAAGCATGTACATCATAAAGGTGAAACTAAATAGACTGCACAGACAGACTAAGGCAATAATCATCTAGTAACTTTCATTTTGTCTTTTTTCCTTTAAAACCATCGAAAGACCACTTCTCACAATTCTAATTAGTTCTCACTAAATTTACTCCTCCTTTCTATCCTACACTTGATTGGCTTAAGCTCACAGCAACTAATTCTTATTGCATGAATCTTGATTTCTCCAAAATCTATGTTGGAAAATTAGCAGGAAGAGAAGCAGAATAGCTCTGCAGAGGTTTTACAGATACTGTCTGAAGGTCCAGAAGCAAGTTTCTAAGAAACTGAAACTCAGATCACTTTCAAACAGAGGCTGAAAATACAACCCAGTGTTCTTATGGCAGAAAGGTCCACTAGGGGGACAGAATCTTCCATAAGGCCTTGATATGCCCCTCTCCTCAGACACTCTTGCCTTCAAATTGGAGAAATACGTATTTGTTGGATGAATAAGGGATTGGCTGGATGTATACATCCAAGGAGTCAGAGTCAACAATTCAGTGTCCAAACTGAAACCAGGAACAAGTGCTGTCCCTCATGAGTCTGTACAGGGAGTAACTCCATAAGGCATTTTCATGAATGATAGGGATTGAGTGCATCCCCAGTAAGTTTGCAGATGATACTCTAAAGGAAAAGGATGCTATAGACAGGGACAATTACACAATAAATACATCCATGTGAACCTCACAAAGTTCAGCAGATCCTGCGCATCTGGGTCAGGGCAATCCCCAATACCTGCACAGACTTGAGGATAAATTGATTGAGAGCAGCCCTGTAGAGAGAACTTGAAGACAGTGGCTGATGAAAAATTGGATATGAACCAGCAATGTTCTGGGCTTGCAGCCCAGAAAGTCAGTCATACATATGTATATTATCGGCTGTATTTAAAGAAGTTATTACATCCAGCACATTGAGAGAATTTGTTGTCTCACTCTTATTTGACCTTCTGAGACCTCAACTAGAATATCACACCCAGGTTTGAGAACCCCAGCACAAGAAAAGATGCAGAGCTGTTAAGGAGGTCCAGAGGAGGGCCATGAAGATGGTCATAGTGCTTGAGCACCTCCTGCAAAGGCGACTGGCTGCAATCCGTGGTTGCTCAGCCTGGAGAAGGCTGTAAGGACATGTTACTGTAGTGTTTCAATATACAGAGGAGCTGATAAGAAAAGGAAGAAAAACTTTACACCTGCAGAGGCAGCACAAGGTATAATTCTTTTAGACTAAAACATGAGGACAAATTCGTTACTAGAAAGATGGTTAGAGCAGGTTGCCCAGAGAAGTTGTGGATCCTCCATCCCTGAAAGTATTCAAGAGCAGGCTGGATAGTGCTTTTATTAACACAATGTAATGAAATGTATTCCCATCCATGGCAAGAGTGGACAAGGTGATCTTTAGAGGTCTCCTGCAGCCCAAACCATTAATTCTGTGATTTCACAAAAAAAAAAAAATCAGAACCATCAACTGTTTATAACATGTTAGAAAAAGAAGTTCCTTATGCTTAGACTTCTAATACAGATGCAAAGCCTCGAGTTTCCACTGACAAAAAAGCCAAGTATATAGCAAAAGGAAATTTAGATTGAAGGAACTTGGACAAGAAACTTATAACAAATACTTGTTCTTTAGAATATGTACACTACAGCAGGTATAAAACACTTGGCCCAGCCACTTTATAAGGTAGAGAGGTCTCCTCTTCTTTGCAAAGCAGAAAAACCTAAACCTGAGACAACCAAGAAGGAAAACAGAATGTAACACTATCATCTGACCTCAGGCAGAAATACTGAGAGATCTTGCAGATAGTGAAAGCCAAAGCCCATCAAATAAGAAGGTACCAAATTTTCAAGCTCTCTCATCGTGTCTTGTATTATTTACTTCATCTACTCATGGGATTGAAGTGGCTGATAAAATTGTGAAGTCAATTTTTTAAGCATGAAAGTGAGTTGTAATGTCAAGATTGCAACATAAGTGACAATAAGAGCTCAAAAATCAAACCAGGAATAAATCCCAGAGTTAGGTGTATTAATGTGTTTTCAATACTGAGCAATAGTAGCAATATTTTTAACAATGAAATGATTATATAAGCAATGGATTAACATCATTAAGTTGTTTCATTTTTTTAATGAAACTAAAATGCATTTCAAAAAATAGTCCATTTGCAATTATATAAAACTGTACAAGAAAACTATCAATGCTTCAGCAATTTTACTAAGTGAAAAGTTTTTTTTTAAAAAAGAAAAAGGATAAAAAGAGAAAATTCACTGGCTTATGTGAAAATTTGCATATATAAACCTATAACCCCAACATAGATGAAAATTTATACTGTATTTATAAAGATACACTCTAGAAAACAAAATATTCCTGGCCTTATAAAAAGATGCTAATAATTTCTATTTTGAGAATTAACTTCACTGTACTATATCTCTGAATAAGAAGTTTACAGACAGCAGCATTTACATAATCTTAAACTGGGCTAAAGCGAAAAGTCCAGTTCCTTGCTGACAAAGAGAAGTACTCTTTCTTTAACCTAGTAGAAGCCTACTAAAATATCCCAAAAATATATGCAGATCATCTTGGTATACAGCAACACTAGTGGAACACTAAACATGACTCTTAACTCAATGCCACTCTTCTTTTAAGGTCACTTATAAGGTCACTTTTAATGCCACTTTTAAGTTGCATCACCTCGACAGAGGAGCATAAGAACAAAACAAAAAACAGCATACAATCACTGCTTACATAGGAACTTACTCTGCATTAGAAATTCCCAATAATTTCTAATATACAATGGTGTATTTGAAAATACAACCACCTTGTAAAATTCATTTCCTACCTGCTGAAACCTCCTCAGTATGATCAAATACTCTACCAAACCCCAGCCAAAGAGAACAATGCAACTCCTTCTGATATCATTCTGATGTCATCTGTATCCTTCATACAGTATTTGTATGCACACTTTTGACACAGTATTTAGAACTGCCTTCTCTAGTGGACTTCCCAACTTCTCAAATAAACCATGCTTAATTAAAAAAAAGCAGAATGTTAACACTGGTATTCTAAACATATCTGACAATTTCATTACACAGATTTATAATTGAATCTGCATATAAAACCTATCAGTAACATACAACACCTAATGAAGTGATGAAGTGATCAGGTAGCTGTTATCCCCACTGAAAGTATACAGATCTGAGAGTAAATAAATATTTTAAAATATGCTTATTGATTTAAAAACTAGAAAAATATTATATGCAAGCTCAAGGCATTGCTAAATTTGTACTTTCCAGTTCATAACTTTATCATAGTCCTGAATTCGTTGTTTTATGTGCGAAAGCTTATTCTTTAGGTATTCACAACGTTCTTTTTTCTCCAGAAATGCAGGATCCTGCCAAGAAAACACAAATCCTTACATTAATATTTATGCTTTCAGTTTTATCCAGTAGTAGTCTATTATAAATGATGTTGTTGACTAAGGACTAAGCATACAATTATTTTCCAGAATAATACTTTTTCTTTGGCCACCATTTTCTATTGCCTGTTTCTTCTTTCTTCACAGAGGGCTAGAGAAAGAAGTTCTGCTTTAATACACTACTGCAGCTATTTAGGAAAAACAGCGGTTTTTAAAAAAAGAAGTCTGCAAATGTAAACTACATTCTACTACATAATTTTTATTTAATATATGTGTTCTAACATGTCTAATAAATACGTCTCCAAAAAAGCAATGAAACTTAGTTAACATGGACACAACTCAGATTTAATTAAAAAGAACAACAGGTACTTGTAATGGATGACGTTTTAAAAGAACATAGGTACACATTTACTGCCTGCACTTAAAAATGACCAAGTGAAACTCTTTAGATTATGCTGAAAATTACTTTTTGAAGTCTACCCAAGTTTCAAGCTGCCAAAAAAACCCAAAAAGAATAATAGTTTTTAAGGGTAAGACTACATTTTCTGTTAATATATCTGACGTCCATGTCAGCTATATAAACAAACTATACCCCAAGAAGTGAACAGGCCTTTAAAATGACAATGTTAAAAGACAAAAATACTTAACTATTTTATTCCTCACCTAGCTAATAGAATCACTCTCCAAAACAGGTTGTTTGCATGAACAATGGTGTAGGCAGCGTCCCACTTATGCCAAAGAATTAAAATACAAAATGTACAAAGCTCTGTAATAGCTAGGGGTACCCCAAGGTAGCAAATTTCTATCAGAAGTGCCGTCTGTTTACATTTTCTTTGTTGTTGTTCTTTAGATTAATCAGTAAAATGTAAAGCTGAAAACACTCACATTTTTTTTCTTCTCATATTCTTGCAGAACTTTTGATATCCTTTCCTGTTCCTGCGGAGAGATATCATTTAAACACACTGAGCATCCTCAGTGTAAACTTTACAAAATACTTCTCAAAAGTCAATCTCTCAGTTGATCAAATCTTTTCTGATTTTAGTTGTACGTTTTGTACTTGAGAAATAGTGACAACAAGTTAACTTTGTTTTATTCAAACTAGAAAGCTAACAGCATGAAATAAAACAAAAACACAAATACATATACAACAATATCATTGCATTCTAGACGGATGACCAAATAAGAAATAGCATATTTGAGAAAAACTCTCTCTCCTACTGAGCCATTGCTAATGTCACCAGACATTTAACCAATGAAAGTTAGAAGCTGCATGCTTTCTATTAGCCCTTTTTTTCCCCACAGGTACTCACATATATGCTTCCAGGATGTTGAGGAAGTTGTCTCATCAATGCTTCTAGCTCACTGAACTTCTTCAACACAGCATGAACTTCCACAGATAGTTCTTTGTACTCAGCAAACTGGTCATTGAACACTGCTTTATACCGGTCTCGCATTTCATTTGTTTGAATTGCTGGGTATTTCCTTTAAAATAAGTAAATATTCAGTGACTAGTATTAGACATCAGACTTCAACAAGCACAAAGAGTCTTGACATTAGTAATGTGTTTCTGTATTGGTTGCTCATCTCGTAATTGATGAAGCTTTCCCAAATCTGAACATTGAAATACATGCCAAATAGTATATAAAACAATTTATTTTATACTTCACCACAGAATCACAGAATGTCTTGGGTTGGAGATCATCTTAAAGATCATCTGGTTTCAACCTTTCTAGTGTGGGCAGGGTTGCCACCCACTATATCATGGAAACAATAAAAAAACAGGCTGTGGATAACATGGAAAGCCTACCTTTTAAAGGAAATATTATCAATTTGGCACTCACACAAGATCAGACAAATTTATAGAGCTAGAAAGCTAAGAAATTTCCTGTGAATATTGCCTGCGCCTTCTGTTCCTTGGTAACTACATGCTAGATTCTAATAGTGTGTTCCAATGCTCAGGTCAGGTTTTAGGGGTTGTTTGTTTGTTAAGTTTCAGATTATTTATATTATTGTGTCCATGGCATTGATAAAGATTTGTAAATTTTTGTAGCACGTGCAGAGAAAACATGAATATGAGAAATACTGCTTGAAAAAAAATGATTCAAGTACTGACTTTGATAAAGAAACTTAAGTCACTCACGCTAAGTAGTCTGGCATCACTATAGGTTTAGGAATGTGACCTGCAGGTATATGACCATTAAGTAGTTCTGGTTTCCTTTCCACTGATTTAAGCTGCCTGTAAGTGACCTCTTCTTTTGGTGTGTCGTCACTGTCAGTATACTAAGTTTGAAAAGAAAAAAAATTGTTCCAATTAAAATGAGATTTTATTCAAATGCAAAATACAAGTTCTGTAAAGTATGCAGTTAACATGAAGACAGAGATAAGAGTCCTAAGCAGCAGCACAAGTAAATCACATACATTCTTTATGTACTTGAATATAGTTAGAAAATCAAGAAAGAGTTCTACAGTTAAGAATTTAAAATGGTTACCTCCAGTCTGTTCTAATATTCTTGGCAATGAACCTAGTATCTGTACCAGTGACAGACAAATACTTATTTGGGTCTTGAAAAGATTTGTCCCCTATATCTTAAAAAACACTTTATGGAAGTTTTCTGGATATCCATTTCATTTGTGGATAAACATGAATCACCCTGTTCTCTCGAGATCCCTTTTGTCCCTTACTTCCAATTCTACAATTTAGTCCCTGATACATGAGTGATGTCACATGGAGTTAAAAAGGCTCCTGACTCAGTACTGAAGTAAGCAACAGAAAAGACAGTGGCAGGATGCTCACAGTATTTAAAGGGAAACATTTAAGTCCGAAAGAACTGTAGAAAGAAACACTCCATAAATTTTCTGGAAATCATCAACATCTATTGCATTAAAATCCTGTCCAACCTGCAAATCTGTGCAGCAGAAGCTCAAAAATCCTTATTTTGTTGGTATTTCAAAGCTTGTAAGAGAGTCTTGGAGTAGTCTTACAATAACAGGAGCAAACTCAAATCTCAAACCTAACAATGAGCTTCCGCTGGCTCCTCTCCAACTTTAACAGGAAGCCAAAAGGAAAAAATTAAACCCTAAAACTTGTAATGCATCAGATGCTTTGCTGCTGTAACCACACCTGCAAAATTCTATGATAAAGACTACAGAACTCATCACTTAATGAGACAGAGTAAAAGCACATACTGTTGACAGTAAATCTTAAAACCAACATGAACTAGCACCAACTTCTTCACAAACTTTTTCCAAATCTTCTGAGCAAGAGAATGCTCTCCTGACTATACTAAAGAACTAAACCTAGTCTTTTCCAACGAAAACAACAACAAAAAACTAATGAAAAAAAGTAGTCAAAACAAGGAGTCACAAGAAAAAAAAAGAACATGCAATTGGGAATACCAGTAAACAGAAAAATAAGTTTGCTTCCTACCTTTCTGTCTGGTAAAGACAACTGTGTTTTCATCTGTCAAAAAAAAAAAACACACAGAACTTTAAGTTTTATTTTAAATAGTAAGTCAAAAAGCACAGATACTTAATATATATATTTTGAGCCAAGCTGTAGAGATTCTTATTTATAATAAATAATTAACATATTTAGCAAAAGAATGTTTTCAGATCAAGCGTTTGAAGAATGGTGTTATAAAGAAAACCACACAAAACCCAGAACAAAATCTTCAGTAGCACAGCTGTAACGAACACCACAGAGGAAATATCCCAATCACTTGTCAATCACCTTTAAATTTCACAACCCAGTGACCCATATGGCTTAGTTCATTGCCTAGAAAACACAGAGGTGAACTAGCCAGTAACCAACCTGCTACTTTTCTGTACAGCACTCTCTTGATCCTAGTTTATATGATAAAAATGTTAACTTCAAAAATATTCTTAAGTAACTAGAATAAAAGAAGAACATGGATAACAACAGGCAAATGACCTCATTCTTGCAGGATGTATTTAAAAACTGGTTGAAAACTAGCTAGTCTCATACATCCACAATTCTCTTTCCTAAAGATGAGTCTCAAGTTTCACGCAAGAAACCAACATTAAATAAAAATGCTGAAAATCAACAGAAATACAATCATAAGCAGGTGGAATGCAGCTTCTTGTATTTAAATGCTGACAATTACTTAAGGTAGGCTTTTGCAAGCTTCACATGTGTATTTTTAAGCTATGTTTTAATGATTTTTAGCAGCTTTTCAGAGTACTTTCACATGGAAGAAATTTTATGCAAGTGACTCCAAATGCCCTGGTTGACAGTGCTAGGTCTGCACGATAATAGTTTATCATTAACTAGGTGAGTACTGAGCGGTTTTAGTAGGAGCAATGCCAGCGGCAATGCAAAACAGATTAAGTGAAAAGATGAAATAATTGAGAACTGAGACACCAGCTCTATCATTACTATCCTTGTCAGAGAATCATAGAATGGTCTGGGTTGAAAAGGACCACAATGATCATCTGGTTTCAACCCCCCTGCTATGCGCAGGGTCGCCAACCACCAGATCAGGCTGCCCAGAGCCACATCCAGCCTGGCCTTGAATGCCTGCAGGGATGGGGCATCCACAACCTCCTTGGGCAACCTGTTCCAGAGCTTCACCACCCTCTGCGTGATATCTGGTACAACTGTAAATACAGCTGAATAGACAAGAATCACTTGGATTTTTGCTTCAAAATGCAAATCAGTATTTTATATTCTTGCTGTCATTCACAGTAGCAGTTCACATGCTGAGAGTGTGGTCTCCAAACGAGTAGTCTTTTTAAGCCCAATCCTACTAAAAAGCTCAACAGCCACATGATTTGTGTTTTCCATTGTTTGGAAAACACACACACAGGGAAGTACTTCATCACATGATGTCTGTAGAGAATGCAGTATTCCACAGAACAGCACCACCTGTTCCTTACCAAACTGAATACAAAAAGACTCTGGGTCACATCTTCACAACAACTATGACTGAGGTTGATGGCTCAGCCCCAAAGGTGATGCCCTGTCTCTGGAGGTGTTCAAAGCCAGACTGGATGGGCCCCTGGGCAACCTAGTCTACTATTAAATGTGGAGGTTGGTGGCCCTGCATGTAGCAGGGGGGCTGGAGCTTCATGATCCTTGAGGTCCCTTCTGACCCAGGTCACCCTGTGATCCTGTGAAGGCTCAGGGCCATACAGCAGACCTGACAGCTGTGCCCACCAAAAGGACCCCCACGACCCACCTCTCGTTCCATCTCTTCCTTCTGCCTCCTGGCTGCTTCGTGCCTCCACAGCTTCAGAGAAACCAAGGCACTAATCAGGTAGATGACCACCGTGACAAACAGGAAGATGATGGCTGCCGTCTGACCTCCTTCCACACGGCAGAAAGAGGCATTCATCGGCGTCTTGAACAGCTGGTAATAGCAGAGTCCCCCTCGGTTGATGTCGTTGACGTACACGATGCCAGCAGACATGTACAGAAGGAACATGGCCACGTTAATGCCAAACTCGGTCAGCGGCCACCAGCTGGAGTCGAGGAGGATGGTGCGGTAGTACATGGACATGCCGAGCACCAGCAGCACGATGGTGACGATCCACGCCACGCCGGCCACCACCAGCACGAAGGGCGTTTTGGGCCCGCCGTAGTAATAGCCGCCGTAGGAGGTGCCGTAACTGTAGGGCTGCGAGTACCCGAAGACGTTGTACCACTCGTTGTCCTTGTGCACGTAGGCGGTCACGCAGGCGAAGACGGCGGCGCCCAGCAGCAGCTCGGCCACGCCGAGCAGCCGCAGCAGCCCGGCCCAGGACTTCATGTAGGCGTAGCGCTGCCGGTAGGCCTCCACCTGCTCGCTGTACGTCATGCCGGTGGGCGCGCCCGACGAGTCCCCGCGCAGCATAGCGTCGGCCTCCTGCGAGCGGCAGCTGCCGCCCGACCCCGCGCAGCGCTCTGCGGAGCAGCCGGGCCGTGCCCGCCACGGGCCGGGGGAGGCGGGCGGCGAGCACGGCGTCCCGTCCGACACGAACCCGATGTCGGACGTCGCTCCGTCCCAGCCCGAGGCGCGGCCGCGCCTTCCTTTGAAGAAGTTCTTCCACGAGTCGGGGATGAAGCGCCGCACCGGCTTCAGCTCGGCTTGCCCGCCGCCGGGACCCGCGTCCGGACCGAAGGGCGGCTGCAGCGGCAGCGGGGGCGGCGGAAAGGGGGCGGCGGCGGCGGCCCCGGAGGGCGACGACGCGGCGCTCCGCGACATGACCCGCGGCGGAACGGCCCTACCCGCCGCACCTGCGCCGCGCCGCCCCACCCGGCCGCACCTGCGTGATGCGGCGCCGCCATCCGCGCGGGAACGCCGGCACTGCTGCGCGCACTGCGCCTGCGCCGGCCGAGCGCTCTCGTACCGAGTGAGTGCGGGTTGCGGCTTAGGAGGGGCAGGGGCGGGCTGCCGGCTGCGGTCTGCGGTCTGCGGGGCTTAGGGATTAATCTACATTGAAACAGGCAGATTGAACAAGGGCTGGAAGGGTTAGGAAACTGTATTGAAATCTCGTACTTCTCGCTTATTTGGAATCCTTAATCTTTCTAGCACCTCTGTACCAAAATCATAGAATCACAGAATCATAGAGTGGTCTGGGTTGAAAAGGACCACAGTGATCATCCAGTTCCAACCCCCTGCTATGTGCAGGGTCGCCAACCACCAGACCAGGCTGCCCAGAGCCACATCCAGCCTGGCCTTGTATGTCTCCAGAGATGGGGCATCCACAACCTCCTTGGGCAACCTGTTCCAGTGCCTCACCACCCTCTGTGTGAAAAAATGTTGTCAATGTTCAATTTTTTTTTTTTCTCAGGGTATTGATAAAAACTTAGCAAATTACCAGTGACAACTCATGCTGACTCCAATTACAGAAATGGAAGTGAAGCTTTGTAACTGATGTTGTGGTTCAAAAGGTGCAGCTCTGTGTCACACAGTGTCATCCGCTTAGTGAACCATCTGTAGATCAATATAGGCTTGCAATAGAAATAGGAGTCAGCATCGAACACAGAGGAGCTGCACTGCTACAAAATAAATAAATAAATAAATAAAACTGTGTTTCAAAAAATTGTGGTGCTCTGAGTAGTCTGACAGGGAGAAATTCCACAGAATAAAAATCAGTGCTGCTGTCTAATTTCAGATGAAGCTCTCATTAAAATACTCTCATAGTTCCATGGATGTGTAACTTCAGGGGATGTAAGAAGCATTTCCCATTGTCTCTTCTCCACTTGTTTTTCTGAAGAGGCATCATCACCATGCCAAAGATAGACAGCTCAAACTGCTGTCTATCTAATTACTGTGCCGTACCTGAATAATGTAGCTCCTGATGAGCAGATGACAGTCATCCAGAGATTTGAATTTCAGTTCATAAAAGCCACTTGATAAAGTTAAAATCACAGTTTTGCTGTTGGTGAACTCATCTTTTTCTTGTTGTTTTTCCAAATAAGCATTTAAAATGCAACAGCTAACAGTTGCGTCTCATTAGTAAAGCAATCCTTTGCATCATTATTAAATTATTGTCTCTTTTTTTTTGCCAGAATTATATTTTGACTGCTCATGGATTGGAATTAAGAGGTAGTATGTTTTGTTAAATGGCTGGTATATACTTTAAGGCACTCAAGCCCTTCAGAATTCCAAGTACAAAAACTTTCCCAATTTTTCCAACAATATCAGTTTGATAACATCTACTAGTGAATATCTACCAACGTTATGCTCTGCTAGAGTTGGCGTAGGTTTATCACGAGAAAAAGTGAGTCTTGGTTTCCAGAAGAGCTATCAGCTGACACACTGTTCTGGGTCTGTTCTCTGTTCTGGGGAAAGTAATGTAAGAAAACGTTGGTTTGCTCTTTCTTTTCAGTGGGAAAATAATGTCAGCTGCTAATATCTAAGTTTGATAAAGTAAGGCTTAAGGTGACCTCTAATTCACATATATGATCATTAATAACAGTATGAAAACAGCAACAATTGTTTGTGGTAACTATGATTGCAGTGCAGCTTTAAGACATGGAGTTTTCAACTCCACACCTTTGCTTCATATGCTCTTCCATGTCGGGTGCCGTTTTTCAGACAGCTCCTCTGCTGCCATCTGTCACATGGCAACAAAGTGGAATGGAATGGAATACTGGTGGGAAGGCTCAAGCTCTGTTGCCATACTGTCAGCATCCTCCCCTGAGGTTGTGGGCCAATATAATAAAATGGTAGGCATTACTTTTAGAGTAGCCCTCATACATCTCTGCTGGACAATCCACATTATAGGACAGATCTCTGCAGAATTGTATTGGCATCTTTCCTCTACTGCAGGAGTTAACCATTAACTCATCCCTCCTCTCTCACAGTCCCTTTCCTATTTATTAATAATTGATCAGGCTTTACTAATTAAGTCATTCTTTCAAGCCTAAAGCTTCTTTTAAAAGCGTCTGAGACATAATTAGAAGCCCTTTGGAAATCTGGTAAACTTTATTAGCTAGATCTTAACTGCTTACTGATCTCTTTCAAGCAATTTAAAATGCTTTAAAAAGCCTTTCTCAGATAGAGTAGAAAAAAGTCAAAGTTTGCAGTGCATTCAGAAGAACGTGTAATGTGAGGCAATCCAGTAATAAGCAGATGTTTCATTCAGAAGATGTTTACTAAATATATAGTATTACTAATATGTATGTAAGCCAGAAGTCACTGTTCAGACTGTTGGGTTACCTCTGCTATGTTAATTACTTGCAATAAAAGACTTTACATAAGTCTTTACAAGACTTTTAGCTAAGGTCTAAACATACAGATGAATTCATTATGCGGGCTATGCAGTAATAACTCTAAGTACACAGACACTGACATTCTGTGGGTGCAATCTATAAATATGTGCTGGTAATGTGATAAGCACAAGTAGATATAAACTGATTTTGTATACAAAATAATTCAAATATATACTGGACCACTCCAGTAAACTTATGAATTATTTATTTTCCAGAGTCTTTAATCATCTGTGCATTGCAATCCATCCAACGTGATACTGGAGCTTCTTTTTTTTCAGCCGAGATTGCTTCCATCCAAGATGCTGGGAGACTACCACTAAATAGGCATTTCAGCAGGTAAACCTGACATTTAGTTTCCTTAAGAACACTATTTTTTATTAAATTAAGGAGGAAAAAAACAACTTTCATACAGAAGTTTCATATACACCTGTTATGACAGTTCTATTTGCAATGGCATCACTTTGTATTTTGTCTCTTTAAAGTTTTTCCAGATGAAACCTATTTAGTAGATCTGAATGCTAGAAACATTTTAAATAGTCTCATTTATAGTTCTTGCTCATCTTCCTCTTTAATTATATCAAGTATTAGTTTTCTGATTGCATGCCATGGATCAAATCTTTGTTTTTACGATCTAAAAAATTGATTTGATACAGAAAGGGGAGTGTTCTTTGCCCAGTGTTTGTCAAGACACAAAGCATTAACCTGGAACTCTGTTGTATTTTCATCTAGTGTACTACAGAGGTGTGAGAAAGAATCACAGAATCATAGAATCCGTAGAGTTGGAGGGGACCTTAAAGGTCATCTTCTCCACCTCCCCTGCAATGAGCAGGGTCATCCACAGCTCCATCTTTGAGCCAGCCCCTACTTAGAGCCAACCCCTCCAAGCGATGCCTCTGGTGGGACCTCCAGTCCCAGCCTTCCTGCATTCCTGATTCTTGAAAGTTCAGCACTTTCCAAATAGGCCAGAAATTCCATGGAGTTGAGTAATTATTTTAATAGTACTTAATACTCATGAAAGGTTGCACTGGCCTATCTATGCTACAGTCAAGCACAGATGTTCTTCTCCATGAATTCTGCTGATTCCATGCTCTTATTTTACCACCACAGCCTCACAGCTCTCCAGGACACATGCAGAGAGCATGGCAGCATTCTGATCCCACAAGAAAATAGCACACTCACAGACATAATGCTGTGTGTGTACTGCTCAGACAGTACTCCTGCACTTCATGTCATTTTAAATTATAAAAGCAGTTTTTATATCCTCTCCCTCTCCCCACTAAAACAAGTTTGCTCTTCTCTTGCAGCCACTCCACTGAAGTCTTCTTTGTCATTATCAATATAAACATCCTCTATCTCTTGTTCAGTTTAAATGAAAAACAAAAAACCTGGAACTCTGGCCTCACCAAATGTATTACAATACAGCCCCATACATTACCTTTTTTGATATTAAAAAACAATGTTAACGACAATCACATTCTGCTGTGATTGCTGCACAGCAATTGCACTTTCATACAGCTTATGTTGCTCTTGGTCCTCTCTTTTGCTGTCAGATAACAAAGTCTTGCAAGGGAAGGGGCACAGGACAAATTGTATCTTTAAGAAGGAAGCTGCTATCTGTAACCCTCAGCATGCAAGCATGGTAAAATAAGTAACGCTGGGTGGCCATCCATGCAGACTTCCCCTCTTTGGAGTTAAGAACTGGCTTACACTAGTCCAGTGAACTATTAGCTCCTATATCTGTGCTTTGGTATACAACTCCATCACAGCATGGATTCATATAAACTTCTTGGAAAGAAGCAGGGTAGGGATAGGGAAGATGAAAGACCAAGCAAAGGGTATTGACACTACAGTTATTTCTGATAATAAAAAAACAAACTCCAAGAAAATGAGTATTTCTGAACTTGTATAAATTTTGTTTGGAGTATTCAAAAGAAAAAAAAAAAAAAAAAAAAAAGTATGATAAAAAGCTCCTCATACAATCTCAGAACAAATACAATTCCTTCCCACTGTTCACTGTTTATAGTATTATGATGAGCTATTTCTTGTTACTCAGATTGCCTTCTATCATCTATGCAGTGATGATTTCCACATTTTCTTTAAGTGCAATTATATTTATTTGTATTTCCAGAGTTAAGAGGCTTGACTTCCATTGTGAACTTCAGATACTAAAGTTTATGAGAAAACTAAAAACTGTGCAACCTCTAAGGCATTGGACTTTTTTTTTTAATCACAGCTGCCTATATAGATATATAATAATATGCAAACATAAATATTAAGAAGATACAAGTTATCAAAGTGTTCTGAACAATAAGAGCTCAAAAGGAGGTCTACATCACCACTGTGCATTCACTTCCTGAATGCAAACATTTGTAAGCAGGGTAGCTCTGTGTTTGCATTTTTAGCAAAGGCCTGAAGTTCCTACACTGTGGTTTACAAGAGACTGTGAACAAACTGCTTTGGTAACACATCCACCAACACATAAGCTATACTTTATACTAGGATGTCATAAACCAAAGCAACTGCTGGTCAGCTCCCAGAGAACCACAGAGTAAGACAGCAGGTGCAGCTAACATCATGTCAGAAGGAAGCCATTGCCCAACCATCCCCAGCTGACCTCCCACAAAGCAATGCCGGCCAACCACAGCCCCACTATTCCAAATCACAACTGAAACTTTGTTTTTCTCTAGTGACCTTAAAGTACAGCTAATTATCAACAGCGGTGAATGGAATCAATTCTCAATGTACAGCAATGGAAGAGTGATCAAAGCTCAGGTAATAAAGACTTTTCAATGTGATGTATTAAAATACAAAGTGACACTCAGATTGTTCAAAACTTTTTAAACAAATAATGCTCCCCACTCCCAAATGCAGACCAAACAACCAGACCATGATCATATATTAACTTTTTATTTTCCCATACAGTATTCACAGAGTCTGTTTCTTGTCTTACTCAAACCTTTTTTTTTTCCAAACTAAATCAAAAACTGACATTTCACAACACGAAAAGAAGTTGTGTAAACACAAAACATTGAAGGAATAGCTGAAAACTAGGGTCTTTAGCAGTTAAAAACACAGTTGTATCCCCATTAATGCATGGCAATTTACTTGTGTATGACACCATTAATCAAGTTATCTTTTCATATATGAAAAGATGCAGCTCAAATAAAAAGTCACAAAGCATTTCTTCACTCACTGCATATTAGCATGTGTTTATTATATCCTATTCAGTCACAATTTAAAAACTATATACAGCTATGTTTGAACGGGTGTCTGTGCCATGTTTTTAATAAGACAAAATAAAGGCATTTTAAGCTATTGCTGCATATTACGTAGCAAGATATAAAAGGATTGGTTCAGATAACTAATTTTAATGAAAAAGTCAAGTCCACTAGATCTCTGCAGTGGGCATAATATTGAGCAGAACAGTCCCACCTTACACTTCAAACATTATGAAAGAACAGACATGTATACAATGGACAACCAGTGTTTGGTTTACCCCACTGTTTACCAATTTTAATAGCACACAGAGGGAAAAAAAAGTTTCAATCTTTAAAAAAAATGTCTTTGTTCTGATTAAAACTACAGAAGTGATATTCAAAATTTGGAAGATTATAGAAGACAATTTGGTAATTAAATCATGTTTTCATCCAATACTTGCACCCAAAATACAGAACTTCCTTCACTGTTGAGTGCAAAGCAGCCAAAAGCTACAGAGTATCAGAAGTACACACATGTAGCTATGATTAAGAACACAGTGCATAGGCACATACCTATCTCAAAAGAAAGGAATAGTTTGTTTTTTGGTTTTTTTTTTTTGTTTGTTTGTTTGTTTGTTTTTTTACTTTCTGACTTCTGTGAATTTAACTATAGCTTGGAAGCTTTCATTCCAAAATGAGAATGCAGTATATGAATTTCAGTACAAGACAGTACATATAATCCTGAATTTTACATACATTGAGCATTTTAGTACTTCCATGACCTTTTAACTTATTTTTGAGGTCCTTCAGGTTTTTTGCTTGGTTTTTTTTTTTTGTTTGTTTCTGAAGAAGTTTTTTCCAGAACAGAGATGAGTACATATTTCATTTCTCAATCAACACAACATTTAAAATGAAGTTATCTTAGGTCAGTTCTTCAGAATGCTTCAGGGTCACCTTCAACTTTTTGCTAGAGATAACACGGGCTGTGAATGAGGATATAGCATTCTTTCTCTGGTTGTTGAAAATTAGTTTAAGAAGCATCTTTTGAATTAGTCAGTAATACAACTTTTTTTTTCCCACCTTAGTTTAGTTTGTGTGCACTTAAAAGTTGCAGTCTACTTACTCCTCCAGATGCACCTGAAAGAGTTTACCAGTTCAATATCAGCTACATGTATGTTCATACACTTCCTTCCTTCCACATCCAAATAAAGCAAGACTTTACAGTACATAAGCTACTCACTACACGAGCAGTGGAAACAATGTGGCTATTAACTCTACCAAAAGATAACCTGAAATACTTAAAACATTTTCTGCCAACTAGCAAAAAAGAGTGGCGATCAGATGCACAAGGCCAAACTGTATCAATGCACCACACACAAGGAAATCAAATTTACAGCACACGTGCAATGCAGTATCAATATCAAATCGGCCTCTAAACAGGAAAACAATTTGGTAAAAACCTTAATATGTGTCTCACATGTAATATAGCCTCAGCCAGTGCTAGTGCTATGCCGCATAACAAACCAAGCTACCTCTGGTCTTAAGTCCAAAAAGCAACAATGCGTGCCCAGACACTGCACAGCTTCAGTGACGAAGTTACAATGTTCTATTTTATTGCAAGTTTTTAAAATAAATTTGGAGATTTGGATTTTTAAGGACAGAAAATCTATTTCCTGAGTAGTCTCAGTTTAAAATCTCTTCAGTAAAACAAAACATTACAAAAGAGGAAAAACATTATACCGTACTATAGAAGAATACATGCTTAAGTAAATGCACTCAACTATAAAATTTAGCATGTTTTGAAAGTGGAGATTTACCAGGCTGACAGAGAATGAGCCATGATGTAGTGTCACAATTGCAACAGATTAACAAATAAGCAAAGGATGTAATTTTTTTTTTTTAAACCGCAAATCAAAACAGCATTACAGCTCATCACGTTTGCTTGTTTATACTGCAATCCACTCAGCCTGGAAATTATAATCAAGCCACACTTTTTATATGCATTGCTTCTGCATCTCAGACATTTGATTGCTTGCTTCTTATGAAGTTTTATACTGCAGATAAATTCCCTGGTAAAAAAAAAACAAACACACTCAATTTGAATTAAAATAAGTAAAAGACAGATAGGCTGGTCAATGCAAATGTTTAATAGAGGAATCAGAAAGCAGAAGTGGTTTTTTTTTTCTGAATGTCATCATGTGTCCCTTCTACAACTTTGTGTCTGTTTTGCGATTCTAACAGATGATGGGTAGACACATTTGAATGCTGCACATATTTATATCCTTTGTACCTAGAATTAATCGGAGAATAATAACTTTACATATTAATAGTGCATAATGACCTGAAGCATTATCACTACCAGTTATGATCCAACACGGGTTGTTGTGGTTCTTTTATCCGAGAAGAAGCTTTTGAGGAGAAATACCTGCCCGATACTAACAACAAGAAGAATGATTGCTTCCCCTATCGACCAATAAGCAACTCTTGTATTTAAATCCTCGGCTCTACTGCGGCCTTGTGCTTCTCTCAGTCGAAAGTGAGTCTGATAATCAATCACAGACTTCAAAGCTTCATGAATCGAAACACAGGCAGACTCCATCTACAGAAGCAAACAAATACAGCATTCCCCATTAAGAGCTCTTCTAATACATTTTCTAGTACCAAATCACAGGAATTCACAGGAGTCATGCAACATTACATCCCAGAGATTAGCTCAGTTCATTGCCAGGCTGAAATATTGTAACATTTGAATTTATATAACTTATATTTAAGAATTTGTGTGGTTTAATATAAGAAGCATGTAAAACTCTTTATCTAATACAGACCACTACCCTGAGAACTACAAAACAAAAATGTGTGATTTCAGAAGTGAACACTAGAAAAGCTACTAAAATGACAGTAACATCCCAATCATTTCTATCATTAAAATACAGAACTGCTTAATATATGTATAACTGTCCTGTAAGTTTTACAACATCTGAAAAACTACACTGACAAATCAATATGTTCTTCTATCAAGAGACCTTTCTCTCACTCATGTATGCTGATTAAAAACTGATTAGAGAAGGACAATTCTGTTACTTTTCAGTGTGTCCAAATGGTCCATGACACTAAAACAGAAAAACCTGTCCAAATTCACTTACTTCCTCTCCTATACTAAAAACAATTAATCCGTTCAATCTGTGTTGCCAGTTTTCCGAATCGTAAATCATTTTTCACAAACTTCTTCCATGTTCAGCTCATGCTGTCTAAGTTAAAGTCAGGACTCTTCACAGTGTGTTGATCATCACAGAATCAGTCAACAGATCTTCAAAGTATTTGAACTCTAACAGGTAGTTTTTCAGCTTTATGTCTTAAAATTAGGATTTCCTGAAGAACAAACAGCACAATCTATTACAGGTTTTATTGACAGGACAAGGCAGAAAGGTTGTAAACTAAAGTAAGGGAGGTTTAGATTAGATGTCAGGGTGAAGTTTTTCACAGAAAGAGTTGTGAGGCCTTGGCACAGGCTGTCCAGAGAAAACATGGATGCACCATCCCTGGACCTCTTCAGGGCCAGGCTGGATGGGGCCCTGAGAAGCCTGATTTAGTTGTTGGCAACGCCAACTGTAGCAGAGGGTTGTAATCAGATGATCTTTGAGGGCCCTTCCAAACATTCTGTCATTCTGTGACTGTTAAAGGAAAAGTTTAACAAGCTAGTATGGCTACTTGCAATTACTTACATCTGTGTTTAACCATCTTTTATAAGTCTGGTGTCTGAACAAGTCCCAAGTTGTTCTTCTCAATGAGATTCAGGAACAGGTTTCCCATTAAGTTCTACCACTGGTATCGCTAATAAATTGTAGAGGCCTTCTACTCTGCTGAAGGGATTCTGAAGTGCCAAGCCCCTCTACTTTCAGGCATTCACTTTTCAATGTCCCTATAAAAAAGCTGTCTGAATTCCAACTGATGTTCAAGAGTGATATAAATATCTAATGCAGCTGAATCTGGAAAAAACCAAACAACATTCTTTCAAGCTAATAGTTGCTGCCAAGCACAAGAGCATCTTACCTGGGTAAGTGCAGTTACTCTGTTTTCACTAGGAAACAGCGGTGGATCTTCTCCAACCTGGAAATCAAAGTACACAGTTTTGTGTGTGAATGTAGAGAATTCATTGCTGAAGCAGAATTTGTATGTTCCATTCCTGGATGCAGTAAATGTGAAGCTATCATATTGTTTCTTCATCTCTTTGTACAATACAATGCCATCGGGATCTTCCAATCGACAGTCAACATCATAATGGCCTCCGGTGATCACCTGAAAAGAAAAAAACAAAGACATTTAATACAGATATTTAATACATTTCTTCCCAGATGTGCAATTTGTCAAATGGTCTAACTTTGACAAGTATATTGTGAAATATAATACATTAATTTGAAAATTGTTTGAAGCCAGTCTGCAAAAATCATTCTTTTATAGAAGACACACAGAAAATAACAGAAAAAACTTTGAATTCAAGATATGAAATGTCAACTACATTTTCAAACAGTTCATAGAAGAAATTTTAGTTGCTTTCTTATAGCTAACTGCACTATAGCAAAGGCTACCATAGATACAACTTGATGGAACAGCAAAAACTGTACAAGTATTGTAACAAATCAACTGTTAACTAAATCCACCACCTCTCTATAGAATCAATACTGCAAGTTGATATTGTTAAAATGTGATAAGACAACTCCTTTCTGTATGGCCTAAAGAGCATAACTACCCTATTAGGTCAAGCTGCTCAGCTCTGCAGGAATGGCATATGACCAGTAAAACAGGTATTACAACAGGTGTCAACAAAGTAGTGTTACTGAGGGGTCCCCTGCTTCCCTCTTGCACAGCTGGCAACAACCACTGCTTTTCAAAACCAGCACATTCAGATAATGCCCAGGAGTGACTCCAAACTTCATGACTGACTTTTATTTCAGGCTTTGGTTATTGTTGACATTACTAAGTAGAAGCAGACAAGATACTCTGCCTCTGTAACAAGTCCCACTGGTAGTTTAGATGCTCAAAATTTGCTGTTTTCATGACTGTCATGCTAGCAGTTTGAAGCTTAATATTTGCTCCAAATTTCTTCCTTTTAAGATAAAGCATGCTGAATGAGCATGCTTTATCTTAAATAAATACTCATATCTGAAGCCATGTCCCTTTTGTATTGTACAGAAAAAGTAAGAGAAGTTGTATTGAATTAAGTATCTTTTACACATCTGTTTGCATATCTTCACTTTAAATGTGCACTTCACATGGTATTGTTTAAAACAACAGCAATTTTTCTATTTATCAAGTTATTAGAACCGTAAAGCTAATGGTAAAACAAAAATAGCACAGGAGCTGAAAACTATCTGCCCTACAGACAGCTAATTTTAAAAACATTCAGCTGGCTAGTGAGATCTTCCTGTTTTTCCAAAAATGTGAATGGCAGGTTAAAAAAAAAAATTGGATGTCTAGATCTGGTTGTCTATCACCTAATGGAGGTTTTCATATAGAAATGAGTGCCTGGTTGGCAGTAAAAGAAAAAAAAATAAAATGTTTTGCAGCTCATCTTTAAAGCATGATTTCAAATTTTGCAAGGGCATCAAAAACCTCAAAAGGGCCAGTTAACACATACACAGTAAAAACGTATTGTTAGACCTTTAAAGCTTTCATGAGATTCCTTCCCATAGAACTTCTTTGGGCCTCCCCTTAGCTCTTCCTTTAGACTACTGCCAAAGGATGTCCATGCAGCACTTCAGTTGGGCAAACCTGGAGTTTCTTTTCAAAAACGCTCCTCCTGTTCTGATCTATTATGATCCTGAGCAGAAGTAGCAATAATAGGCCTATCTGCACAGGAATGTCTAGAGACATCTGTTTCAAAACATGGGGAAAATGCTGATCAGAAAAAAAAGGAAAATGCAAAAAGCAGTAAGAAGGGACAAGAAACCAAGTAGAAGTAGGAAAACAAAAGAAACCAAGTAGAAGTAGGAAAACAAAGAGCAGAAACAAGAAAGAGTAGGAAAAAAATATTTGACAAAGATCTGGAACACAAAGGACAAAGTTATCTAGCAGCAAAATTCCCCAAAATACTATGAAAAAATAAATATGGGACTTCAAAAGGAAAAGCTGGTCCATAAAAGCACACTTCTCCCCCAAAGGAGCCCACTGTCTGGGTTGACTTTGCTCTGGTGCTGCTATTGCACTCTTTAGTGTCAGTGGCTGCCACCTCAGAGAAACCAGAAATGCCAGGGCTATGGTTCCATACATCTCAAAGCTGCGAAACAGTTTTCTGTTAAGAAGGTAAAGGTTCAGTCTGTTATAAAGCATGGAGAGCCCCTTGGCACTGGCATGGATGAGGCCACACCTCAAATACTATGTTCAGTTTTGGGCTATTCAATATAAGAAAGACATTGAAGCCCTGGAGCGGGTTCAAAGAAGGGTGACAAAGAGGGCTCTGGAGCACAGACCTTATGAGAAGCAGCCGAAGGAGCTGGGATTGTTCAGTCTGGAGAAAAGGAGGCTCAGGGGAGACCTTATTACTCTCCATAACTACCTAAAGAGGGGTTGTAGTGAGCTGGGGTTTGGCCTCTTCTATCAGATAACAGTGAAGGACAAGAAATAATGTCTTTTAGCTGCACCGAGAGAGGCTGAGGTTGGACAGTAGGAAAAATTTCTTCCCAGAAAGGTGAGGTATAGGAATGGCCTGCCCAGGGAGGTGGTGGAGTTATTGTCCCCGAAGGCTTCCAAGGAAAACGTAGATGTGGCACTAAGGGCCATGGTTTAGCGATGATGGAGGGCTGACTATTGCACTGGATTGTCCTAGAGGTTTTTTGCCAATCCTAACGATTCTAAACAACAAACACTGCACGGTCCCTCTCGGCTATTCACATTAAGCACAGCCCTCACAGGACGCAAGGCCGTTTCCGTGAGGCACGGCACGGCACAGCCGCCCTCAGCGCGCCGCCATTCGCACCCTACGCGAGGCCGCGTGGCGCCGAGCCGGGCTCGCCCGCTACCTGGAACTCCAGCGTGCACTTCGTGCCCTGGGCGATCTCCTCGTAGAAGCACTGCTTGGCGTTATCGGGCAGCTCGAAGGTAATCTCGGAGGCCCGCGTGGCGCAGGCCAGCAGCAGCAGCAGCAGCGCCAGCCGCCCCCACGGCCCTTCGGACCCGCAGCCCCACGGCAGCATAGCACAGCGCGAGGAGGGATGGAGAGGCAGTACTGAGACCGAGCGGGACGCCGCGCGGGACGCGGCGGAGAAGCGGCAGCGGTGCGGGCGGAGCCGGCCGTGAGCGCGCTGCCGAGCGGAAGCACTCGCTCTGCCGGGCGCCGCCCTCCGGAAGCACTTCCGGGTGAGTCCCGTTGTTCTGTGGACGTGGTGCGTGACGCGGAGGGCGGGGTGGGGCCTTGGGCGGGAAAGTGCGTCTCCTCAGCGCTGCTCGGCGGGCTGCTGCGGCGGCTACACGAGTGTTAGATTTCATGGAATCAGAATGGTTTCGATTGGAAAAGGTTCCTAAGAACACCAAGTTCTTAGGTCCAATCTTTCGCTTTGCATTGCTAAGTCTGCCTCCAACAGTCCTCAAACACTGCATCTCCACGTCTTTCATAGATGTGCAAGGTTGGTTGAAGTCACTGCTTCCCTGGGCAACTTCACAGCCTTTTCAGTGAAAAATTTAATATCCAACCTGGCACAACTTGAGGCTGTTTCCTCTTGTCCCATCACTTGATGTTTGGGGAACAGATTGACCCACTTTGTCACAGTCTCCTTTGTGGCAATTGTGGAAAGAGGCAGGAACTTCCCTGAGCCTCCTTTTCTTTATGCTGAATAACCGCATGCTCTTCTATGACTTGTGAGGCGGAAGTGGTGGGCTATCTGAAGTACCGCCCTGACTGTGGCAGGCGGGTTGGAGATTCATGATCCTTGAGGTCCCTTCTAACCCTGGCAATTCTGTGATTCTGTGATACTGTGTCCAGGTCTGGAGCCCCCACTACAAGAAAGACAGCTGTTGGAGAGGGTCCAGAGGAAAACCATGAAGATGATCAGGGGACTAGAGCATCTCCCCTGTGAAGACAGGCTGAGGGAGCTGGACTTGTTCAGCCTGGAGAAAAGAAGGCTGCAGGGTGACCTCATTGCAGCCTTTCAGTACCTAAAGGGAGCCTACAAACAGGAGGGGAATCAACTCTTTGAAAGGGTAGATAACTGCAGGACAAGGGGAAATGGTTTGAAGTCAAGGGAGGGAAGATTTAGGTTGGATGTCGGGGAGAAGTTCTTTGCTATGCTAGTGGTGAGGTGCTGCAACAGCTGCCCAGAGAGATTGTGGATGCCCTGTCCCTGGAAGTGTTCAAGGCCAGATTGGACGGGGCCCTGGGCAGCCTGGTCTAGTATTAAATGTGGAGGTTGGTGCATGTGGCAGGGGAGCTGGAGCTTCGTGATCCTTGAGGACCCTTCCAACCATTTTGTGACTCTGTGAAACACCGGAGATGCACTCTCACTGTGCTGCCAGGCAGGCCTGGAGTGGTGCCTTCCAGTGGTGAATCCAAAAAGTAAGAGCATCTTGCTCCAGGGAGAGACAGCACTGCCCAATGTGCTTGCCCACCCTCTCCAGCACATGCTGCTACCTTTACAAAGTTAAAACAGGTTCAAAAGAGGGAATCAAAGATGACCCCACTGGTTCATATTCATTTTTGTCTGTGGCTGGTTGGGCTGAGCTGAAGGAGAGAACTGCTCTACAGTCCCCCAGTGGAGACAGGCTGGCCTCCCCTGTGGTTCCACCAGAATCATACAGCACTCACTCTGCATGGCACCCACCATGTGCCCATGGACCCTCTAGCCCAGACAGAATGACTCCCTACCTGTCTTCTGAAGCCTCTGGATTTCATCCTCAGCATGGCAGAAGAAGCCAGAGTGTCTGTCTGAGGATTTCACAGGGCAGTGGCACACAAAATCCAAGTTTTGAAGGCTCTGGTAGATTGGCAGGTATGAGTTAAAATGGTATGATAGAAGCTTTATCATATTTCTACCCTCTCCCACTGTGAAGCAGGAATTATCTGCCCACACTCCCTCTCAGACCTCTTTTGGTTTTGTTTAAACACACTGGTTTTATTTCAGGGGGCATCCCAATGTTGGCTGATATCTGAGACAGCTTAAAAGCACATTTCTGCTCACCT